CTTCTTTGTGGCCTCAGACCATGGCCAGGAGAGTGTGAGGGATCAAAATGCCCTCCTCACTGTCCCCACCACATTGCCAGCATGTCCAGTGGTTCTCAGCTCAGAATGGGCAGCACCTGCCTACCCAACCTCCTTGGCAGAGCACAGTGGCCATTCTTAAGGACATTGACCTTCCCTCCCCAGTACACACAGGCTTTGGGGCACTGGGCAGCTCTCTTCCTGCCTGCCCTGCCCACACTTGGGTGGCCTCTCCAGGCCTGGGCCCCCAAAACTTAAGCAGGTGTCCAACTACTCATTACTGTATCATCCAGCAACTATTTGAGTGCCAATCCTGTGCCAGCTACTGGGGACCCAGCAAGACAGCAGGGGCTGTGTCCTCATGGAACCTGTGCCCTAGCTTGGGAAGCAATCAGAGGGAACTGCATGAGCAGACCCGAGATGCTCTCAGCCCAGTGCCACCCACCTCGTCGGGCTCCTCCCAAACAGCCTTGGGCCTGACCACAAAGCCTGCGAGGGCAGAGAGGTCGGGGGTCCAAGATTAGGGGTGGGCTTTCGGCTTCTTTCTTGTTGCCCCAAGATAGTCTTAACGTCCCTCAGGTGGACCCTCTGAGAAAGCTGTCACCTGACACAAGTGGGTTACATACCCCATGTGAAGCCACGCTCATTAGCCCTTGACCAGTATGAGTCTGACTATGGAATTACTTACCACAGCACTGAAGCATAGTCACTCTGAAGCCATCACCCCCAACAGTTTCCAAACACTGCAAGAGAACACACATGGTCTTCACCGCCTGATGATTTTTGGTTTTGAAAGATCCCTTGGGCTTGCTTCCAAAATCAAGAGAGTTCTTGAAATAATGCCTTGTGGAAGTTTCCAAGCAACTTTTTTAAAAAGTTCTTTAAAGTTTGGGTTGTACCCTAGTTCCCAGGAATGACCTTTTACGCATTTCTGATTCATGGATGGTGTTTACCTGTGCAATTCAAGGGTGAACCTGGCTCAACTATAAAATAAACACTGGGGCATGAAAGTCTGAAAAATGTGGCCCAGATCAGTGTGGGGGCAGGGGCAGCAGCTCCCAGCAGGACTCATTTCTGGAACCCCCCAACTCCAGGTTCACATGGGAGCAACCCACCCCTGCCGCTGAGTGGGAATGGGAGAGCTCCTTCAGGAGGGTCTTTGTCTCATTTGTGTTTGGACAAGGTTTTTAGACCTTTCGAGATCTCACAAAGACTTGAGAGGAGTGATCAGCAAAAGACACAGCTAGGGGGCACCTCCTCGGTCCTGTGGGTGTTTCTGCTCTGGGCAGCACCAGCATGCGGCATGCTCTGACTCTCCTTGAAGTCTCCTCTTGTATTGGAGGTGTGTACGAGCTTGTGATTAATAACCTGGGCTTCTGCCAGGGAGGGGTGTGGCTCCTATGAGGCCACCCAGAAAGCAGCTTGCTTCATGGTCAATCTGGGATTTATTTGCCTGCAGTGTATCACCCGTGATGTTACTGCCTGGTGGCTCCGGGACTCTCGAGACTAAGCTGGGGTCTCAGAAAGATGAAAGCAGGAGGTCAGAAAGGCAGCCTGCTCCCCACCTTTCCTCCCCTCTTCTCCTCATCCTCCAGAGGCGGTGTGCCCCTGGTGCCAGCCCTCACACAGACACTTCCAGGGACAGTCTTGAGAGAACCCCTGACTGCCTGGCTGGGATGCGAGCGCCAAGCCAGGAGCTGCACCCCATCCACCCGGTGCCCAGGAGCGAGGCAGAGAGGCAGAGAGCCCTGGGGCTCCTCCACTCCCCTCGCTTCACCTGGAATATTTCCAGCTGGATGGAAAAAAAAACTTAAAAGTTCTGTCCCCATTTTTAGCCAACATCTCTCTTCAAAACTGGATTTTTGGTAATTTTTTAAAGAAAACCTTATTACTGGAACAAATGAACATTTGATCCACTTCCTGTTACACATACATTATAGAGCCCCGTGCTAACCACCTTCAACCAAAAAAATAATTATGGGCAATTGAAGCTCACAAAACAAAATGTTAGGTTGTACTTTTTCCACATTAATAAATATGTTTAAATAGAACTTTTTTTTTAGTGTCATTGTAAAATTGCCAAATGCCCTTCCTTGAGAAGAATTGCCTTTTTTTTTTAAACATGTGTTTCCTACTTATTTGGTGGTGGAAGTTCTTTTTATTTATGAAATGCTGCTGATGGTAATTTTCAAAAATATTTTTATTTAGCAAAATAAAATTCTGGCACTATCACCTTATTCTAATAAACTTGTAGGTCTGCTCATGCCTGTCCTGTGAACTTCCTTAGCCAAAGCTCACTGAGCAGATATGGCCCAGATTATTGCAATTTTGACCCTTCTATCTGGGCACCATCCTATCTAGCCCAGAGTGGTGTTCCAAGATGGTATGTTCGGTGTCCTGAGCCACCTCTCTCATCCAAGCTGACGTACCCACCCCATCTATTTTATATTTCCAAGGAGCAGGAGATCTGCAGAGCTTCAGGGCTCTATCCCCAGCAGCCAAGACCACTGCACTACAGGAGTCTCAGGGCAGCACTGAAACATGGTCCACTCAGGAAATATGAATAGAACATGTAATATTTTCAACAATCCATCCTAGGCACTCTAAGAGGAAACAGTAATTTCCTGCCCGATTGGACCCTGCAGCTCCATTGGACAAATATGATAATTGCCCAAGCATACAGAAACAAGAGGCAGGAAATTATAAATTTAACTGAGGCAATGGGACACATGGAAAGTATGATTTTTTAAAGTTGGAAAATAAAGACATCATTTCTGGCTAAAGTGGTTAAGCAAAAAGTTCATGGTGGTCAAGAGAATATTCTGGAGTCCCACTGCTGGCTCTACTAGCTATGGGGCTGCTCAGTGCATCGGTCCCCTCATCTGTCAAATGGGAGTAATAATTGTGCCTGCTTTATAGTTGCTATGAAGATTAAAGGGCCAAGTACATAGTAAGCATTCGTGATTATTAACCTCGGTCATCATCCTGGACAGGATTACATTTTGAAAAGGAAAATGCATGGCATGTTTAGAAAATGGCAAGTCATCCCTGAAGATGAGAGGGAAAAATTAGGGTTAATCTAAGGGTATAACAGGAGAGCAATTTGGAAACACAGAGGGCAGGTTTTAAATATAGGGGAGTCAACCGTAAGCTGATTTGCAGAGGATGATAGTATGTTCCTTTTTAGGAATGGTCTGTCAGAGGGGACAGCAGGGCTTTTGGGCCCAACCAGGATGTGGGCAGTTGGAAATATCCTTCTAGGGCAAGGGGCGGGGCCAGCATCAGAGAGACATTGGGGAGCCTTCTGAGCGGATGCTCTGGCACATCATGTATGCTCAAATGAGCGTGTCAGTGGATGAGGAGATGAAAGCAGTGGCTATGGGTGAGATCCTTGCGGGAGGGAAGAACTGAGAGAAGGGGAAGGGATCCGTAGGGATACTCCCCTGAGGCTGTCAGCCTGAGACCAGAAGCCAAGGCTCCCTGTCCCTGCAGACTTCCCCCAGCCAGCTCACAGCTCGGGCTTCCGGTCCTTCCCACTGCCTGCTGCTCTCTTATTCATCACTGCGCTGGGCGCCCAGTCTTCATCGCACATCTTTTATGGCCCCCCAGTGAACAGTTCTGCAGGTCCAAACCATCTCCTGGGTCACACCAGTTTTCCACAGCGCACCAACAGCAGCAGTCCATGGAAAAAGGCTTCCGGTGGCCATAAGCTAAGTGAATGAGCCACACTGGATGCAGCCAAAAGGGTTGATGGGAGCTCGGTCCCTATGACCTGAAATGTGACCATACAAGGGAGGCACAAGTCCTGCCAGGTTCTGCACTTGTCCCATTATTACATGAAGTATATATTGGATACCTGGGGAGTTTGGTTGTGTGATGGGCTATAGGAGATTGTCCTTAAGAGATCATCAGAGATGCTTTTTTAAAGAATTCAGATGTTAGCATGGTGACGCAGTCTAAAAATACTGAGATACCAAGACAGGACTCCCAAAGCACTTATTTGGGTTATGTTTATATTTTCCCAGGAAATGCCAGCATCACTGTCACCATCAGGTTCTCTTGGTTCATTTGGAAGCCAAAATGTAAGAATTGTGACAGTAGAACCCCCAGCTGGCTGCCTAAACAGTCTCTTCCAGTTCTCGTGAATACCGAGCACCCAAGGGTATTGGCTGGCCACAGGCAACAGGGTTTCCTTAGTCAGGGACTCAGAGAGCAGGCCTCCCATTGCTAAGTGCTCTCCCCAGCTTTCCTGCAGGGAAGCATGAGTTTTACCTACGTGCCAGCCTGCCCACTCCAGCCTCACCCCATGTGACTGCAGGGCCAGCTAGGGCCATGTGACTGTCCCAGTACATTCCGTTTCCTTCTGACTTTGCCTCTTTGCCACTTTGGTTTAACCTTGAATCCATGTGGACACTCCTCTGCTGGTTCCACCCCGTGTGTGGCTGCCGACCCACCCACAGGAGTTCCTGGAGGGACTGTTTCCTTCGCTCCCTGCTTCCTTTCTTTCTTGAGGGCACGAGGACCTAGATGCCTCAGCCTGTGACCCATGAGCCCTATGGAATTACAGGGAGCAAGGGAGGTGGGGTGTTCAGGGTGTGGCACAGCAAGCCCACCACCCTGTGACTCCCTCCGCCCGACACCTGCCAGTGACCTGGAGGGAGGCTGGCAGGGACCCCTTGCCCAGAGCATTTCCACTGATAGCTCTCATTTCCCTACAGCCCCTCTCCCAGCTTCCTTCTCTCCCAGACCTTTCCGCTTCTCGTTTTGCAGAAACTATTTTTTTAAGGGAGAAGTGAAGTGCAGGGAATAATACCACCCACACCAGTGTTGACCTGTTTTCAAATACACTTAGTGTCCTTGATTCCTGCTCTGCCTGCCCACCATGGACTCTCACCACTGTTGGCTGCCTCTTTATGGGGTAGCTTGGGGCTCTCTTCCCTCACCTGCTCTAAGTATGATCACCTCATATCTTCTCTTTCCAGGGTTCCATGGAGAATGGGGCTGTAGCCTCTGCGAACACTCAGAAGACAGACCCTGTGTTGGAGCCGAAGTTCAAAGTGGTGGACTGGGACAAGGTAGCTGGCCTGGGATGGAGGGATGATGACCGGGAGCTCCCAGGGCTAAGGAGAGGGTGTAGAAAGCCAAAGACTGTGTTATGCATGACAGTTGCCCAGGGAAAGATGAGGACAGGGTGGCAGATGCTCACAGCTCACAAGTGTGATCTGGAAAAGCAAACCTGGCTGGGGTTATGCTGGGTGCAGGCGGTCTGTGCAAAACGAGGCCCCGAACACCCCAGTGGGAGTCTACCCCCAGAGCTGGTGAAGCTGAGAAGGGCACGACGACAGGGTCAGCAGGCCCAGACATGCCCAGCTTGACCAGCATGCAGGGCAGAGCTGCCCCAGGCACCAGCAATCCCTGGCAAGCCACCAGCTGCTGCGGCCAGGAGACAGGGCCGGAGCCCTCTGCAGCACCTGTCTGCAGAGCCTGGCGCCAGCCCTCTCTGGCTGTGATTAAGCAGAGCCCATTTGTTGGCTCGGGGAGTCCTGGGCAGGTGAGAGGACATGGCTGGAAGTGCGGTGGGTCAGTGCAGTTGGGGTAGAAGCAGCATTGCCCAGACCCTCTGGGGGAAGCCCGACTTGGGAGCCATTTCCTCCACGCTGGGTCCTGGGACTGTCCCCATGTCCATATGGCCACTGACTGCCTCCTGGAGTGGACGCGAATGTGCACATCCATTAATGTCCCCTACTGTGCTGGACACCGGTACAAAAGATAAATGGGACAGGCCCCTGCCCTCAGGGAGCTCACAACCTAGTGGGAAGGACAAACACCCCTGAGGGTAGTTATTACAACATGGGGAGAAATGAGAAGCACCCCCGGGAACCCAGGTGACCAGAGAAGTGGGTGGGGGGACTCCACAAGCCGACCGACTGTGCCCTGGGCCCCTTTGGCCAGGACTCCTGAGGGACTCCCTGGCCCCAGGAACTCAGGGGCGGCATCTTCTGGGGAGGCCGACAGCACACAGCAGTCACCTTTGGGTGCTCTAGGAGAGAGGCTGGGACAAGTTGTTCCATGGCTCCTCCCCTTCAGAGAGGCATATAATCAAAAAGGAAATAGGCCCGCAGGGGGAAGGGCTTGCCAAGGCCATACGGCTTGACCCCAGAGGGTTTGCCTGAACCTGGAGTTCTGACCTTAACCCCAGGGCTTGGCTGCGACTGCTCATTGCCCAGACTGGGGCAGGTTGGGGGGTCTTGTTGCAAGTGACTTCTCTGCAAACCTGGGGGACTTGGGCTTGTTGTGCATGTGGGTAGGATGGAGGGAGGTCTGCCAGCTTGAATGGAACACAGACCCTGGAAGCTGTGGAGTCAGGACCTTGTCCTGGACAAGGAGGAGTTGCAGAGGGAGACGAGGAGGGTGTGTGGTTGAGGGCCGGACCAGAGAGGGAGCCCAGAGTCCTGCTCAGGGATCTGTGGGTGGTGCTGGGAGGCGCCGGGAAGAGGGGGCCTGGGGCCACCATCTGTGGGCTTGGCTTAGCGGTTGAATGTTGGAAAGAAAATACTCAGAGCTGATCAGGGCTGGGTAAAAATGAGCCGCCCTGGGGGACAGCGGGAGAAAGAGTGGTCCTGGCAGGGAGGGGCTGTCGTCTGAGGCTGGCTGGGACTGCAGATCCCGCGTTGTGGCGCTGCTCTGGGGAAGGGTGTCTGTCTTCCTGGGCTGCAGGTTCAGTGGGCGAGGGGAATCAAGTCCACCCTGGCCTGCTCTGCCATCACCAGGGCCCCCACCCGAGGGGAAGAGGGGCTCCCCTGTCTCCCCCTCCAGGGCCTGCCCCTGGCCCGTGGCCAGCACGCCCAGGCGGCCCTACCTGGCTCACCTTCCCTGCCTCTCTGCCATTCTCTCCCACATCCCTCTCTTCTTCCTGAGTCCCTCCTCCTGAGTCCCTGAGCTAAGAGAGGGACAAGGGTTGGCCCAAGAGAGGGTGTGGGACCCACTCTGGCAAGGAGCCCCCAGCCCCACTGGGGGCAGTGGGGGATCGGCTTCATGCCTCCCCCAGCACCCCAAGAAGACCCAGCACAGGGAGCTGGGCTCTCCAGGGAGAGTGAACAGGGCTTTGCTTGCTCTTTTTCCCCTTCTTCTGTCATCTACCATGTGATCAATCTGGGGCCCTGGCAGGGAGTGGAGAGGCAAGGAGCGGCCCCAGCCCCTTGTCACATTTAAGCCCTGCATCCGTTTCTGACCCAGGGGCTTGCATGGGTCCGTGGGGTCTGGACCCGAGGAGCTGTGGAGGGAGGCCATGAGGGTGCCAGCTTTGTCTCAGCTGGGGCCCTGGGCCTGCGGTGGGCCTGCACACCTGCTCCTGGGGCGAAGGACTTGCCGCGGTTACCCCTCCCTGCTTTACATTCGGGGGAAAGCCCCTGGGTGCTGCCAAGCAAGGACGTCTTGGGTCCTGTGGCCCAGCTTCCCAGCCCTAGAAGCTGAGGGACAGAGTGAGCCACGCTGGAAAGAGTGAGGGGAAACTGTGATTGGTGCTGAGGCAGAGAATGTAAGGTTCCGAAAGGCGAGCCCAGGGGGCCCCACTCTGCGTACGGTCTGACTTTCAGGCTCTGTCAGGGGTCGTACTGCACAGTTTCTAAATCATTCCTCCAGCCTCCCAGTAGGGCCAGACTCAGGCTTCCTTGTGGGACAAGAAACCAGGTTGTAGCTCCTCACCCTAACATGTCGCTCCCTGTCTTCTGGAACCCAGTAGCCAGGAGCGTGTCCTGGTCAGGTGACTGGAGCTGCCCACTGCTGCTGGCTTCTGGGCACACCTGTCCCGGGTGCCCCACTGCCCCTTCTCACCTCTTCACTGAGCCCATTTTGCCCTCCTCCCCTAGCAGCCTCCTCCACCCTTCCCACTTCGGGGGTCAGCCTCCCAGGAACCAGACTGAATTGGTATGAACTAGGGGTTTGCATAGATTCCCTGCCCAGTTCCCCTGGGAAAGCAGAGGTAGCAGCAAATTGGCACTTCTTTTACTGGGTGCTTACCAGGTGCCAGACACTCAGGCAAACACTTTAAATAATTATGTACTATCTGATCTAATCCTTCCAACAATGGGAGGAGTTAAGGGTTATTATGATCCTGGTGTAGCTGATGAAGAAGGGCTTAAGTCTACTGCCCGGAGTCACTGGCAAGCTTCATGGCCCAGCTGCAAGTTACTAATCCCCTTTCCCCCGCCGGCTCATCCCAGGTGACCTTGACTGGCCAAGCACATGACCTCAGGCTTGCACTGGGAGAGGGGATGGCAGACAGGAGGGAAGAGGCTGAGCGTGTCCTGGAAGGCATTTCCAAAGCAAGGCCCCAGCCTCTTTCCATCCTCCCTCAGGTCAGCCAGACTCCCATCGACTGCCAGTGAGTGGAGGTCACTCTCTTCTCCTAAGAGACAGGTAGACTCAGCCAGCCAGGTGTGTCCCAAAGCAGCAGTCAACTCTGCAAACCCCCTGCTGCCCTCCACGTGCACACACACACACACACACACACCCCTTGGCATCAGGGGCTGCTCTGGGGGTCCCCAGAGCCTGCAAAGATGTTGATGTTGGCACCATGGGTTTACCCTGTCAGGACCCTCAGATAAGTCACTGAGAACTTGGGAGAGTAGCTCCTGGATCAGAACAAGGGCCCTCTGGGCCAGCCCACCTCTGGGGAAGGGCCCACCTTGAGCTGTGGATGTGGACCTGGTTCACCTCCCAGCACTCTGCCCCGCAGTTGCCTTGGGTCCCCTTGACCCTCCGCAGAGTAGGGGTCTGAAGAATCAGGCCACCCAGAGGGATCCACAGGGGCCTCCCCAAGAGTGTCCTCACCAGGTCCAGGGTCTCCTGAGTCACCCCTCTGCTTGTCCCTTGCCCAGGGCTCCTGACCCCTCTTCTGAAGAGCTCAAAAGTCCACGCTCCCAGGGAGAAACAGGCTGGTGGGCTGGGGCGGGGGTGCTGCCTGTAGTGTCCCAGTGGACACGGCAGGCTAGGAGATAGGAGATGACCACAGAAGCACTGGGTCCCTTTCCCCATTAGCTAGATGTAGGGAATTTCTCCCTCTCTGGATTGTGTGGAGTTGTCAAGAGGATCTGGCAGAACATATAATAGGGCATCAGAAAGTGTGCTGCCAGTGAAGACCGCCTGACCTTGCCCTGGGTTAGGGGACAGGTCAGGCCCCCTTTGCTGTTCCTCAGCCCCAAGGACTGAGGTCACTCTGGCTTTCTGCAGCCATCCTTCCTGTCGCCCTGGGCCTCTGGCCCTCACACCCATCCCTGCCCATGCTCATCTCCTGCAGCCCCCCTCACAACCCCCAATAGCCCCCATAGGCTGCCATGCTGGACGTCCCTGCTGGGTCCCTCACAGCCTCTGGGCTGGGGAAGTCACAGCCCCTGGGGTCCGGGGATAGCTGATAGAAGCCTTCTGGCCTCAGGAGCTGGGCTGGCTCTGTGTGCATCCCACCTGCAGCAGGTGCCCTGAGCATCTGACTCAGTCTTCTCATCTGTAGAATGAGCCCATCGCAGGCTACAGCTCTCAAAATCATCATTTATGAAGGACAATGGACATGAAGTCTGGGCCTAGGGAGTCTGTGACAAGGTCGTAGAAACAGTGGCTGGGATTCTTGTCCTTACTCTCCTCCCACTGGCCCGGACTGGTCGGATGACCATCTTCTGCCTCGCTGGCTCAGAAGGCTACCCTGAGGCTAGGAGCTCTGGGGTTTGGTTGGACATTTCTTTAAACAAGCACCTTGGCTCATAGCTGGGGAGGTGGGAGGAACTCCTGGCACAGAGCAGCTGCCTCCTCCCCTCATATTCTCCCAGCTTGCCTCTCCTGAGCTGGGGTTGCCCCTGGCAAGAGTTCTGTGCCACCAGGAGGAGGGGAACCTGGACAGCAGAAGGGAGAGAGCAGAGGAGGCCCCTCCCCAGCCTGTCAGCATGCACACCCTTCCATGCAAACCCGGGGCAGCAGGCTGCCCTTTCCCCCCATGGGGTGTGCTGCAGCCACATTCCTGGCATAGCTGGAGAAGCCCTCCCCCTCCCGTTAGGGCAGGGGCCAAGCCGGTGGGGGGAGGGCTCAGACTTGCCCGGTTGGCACAAGGTGCTTTGGCCAAACTCACCCCCATCTGCTTGTGCTTTCTGGGGTCCAGCCTGTTGCTCGGGTTCTTTGTGGGGGCCCCAGTAAGCCTGCCGCAGAGCAGTTTCTGGGCATAGCCTCACCTTCATTCACACAGTCCAGCTTTAGTTGGGCAACCCTGAGTGAATCACGTGTCCTCTCTGAGCATCAGGTTCCCAGTTCTGAAAGGGGGGTGTTCTATGCCAGGGTAGCTGTGGAAGCCCCCAGATGCTGGGAACTGGAGGCATGTGTGCTCAGTGGTCTGCCCTCCCCTCCTTTCCCCTACCCAGCCTCCTGCAGAGGCCAGGAGAACTTGGCTGGTGCCTTCCCTGTGTCCGGAGCCTAAGGAAGTGGGGGTGGGAAGGGCTAGGCACCAGCTCAGGAGGAAGAGCCATTTGTGGAGGAGGGTTAAGGATTTAAGGGGTCAAGGGTCCCTAAGCCAGGGAGAGAGGAGGTGAAACTTATCTGGAGTCCCTTCCTATTTCATTGAGTCCTGAGCTCTCATCTCTTGCCATCCTCCCTTCTCAAGACCGGTTCCCAGCCAGCTGCCACTTGGAAATGACCAGTCAGTGAGAGGTGATGAATGGATTAACACTGTGCTGAGACTTCTCTGTAGGTGATCAAGACTGGAAGAGAATTGAGAAAAGATCCCCTGCGGGTGCACGTACCATCCAAATTGGGGCTGAGCATGTGGTGCATGGTCCAGCTCCTGGGAGATCATGTGGACCGTGCTACAGTCTGGGGGAGGCAGGAAGGGAGGCCCCCACTCCAGGACCAACCAACCCATCTCAAGAGTCACTTAACATCTCTGGACCTCAGTGTCCTCATCCATATAATGGGGAGGAGGTCAGTGGGCCTGAATTTCACTGTCCTTCCCCTGGGATAATGGACTGAGGCTCGAGTGGTAGAAGTATAAGTGCCAGTCTTTAAGGACTGAGGGGGAATGTTTGCAGAAAGGAGAGTGAGACTTCTGGGGACCCCTCCAGGGTGGAGGGAAGTGGCCCTCCAGGGCAAAGTGGGCCCCTCTGGGTACCAAGCAGAAATGCACTGTGGGCTAGACACCGAGCCCAGGGATTGAGACCCTCCAAGGCCAAGGAGCACATGAGAGACAGCCTTGCAACCAACTGTAGACAGCAAATCTGCCATTTGTACAGTGGCCAAAGCCTGCTGGTCTACCTAGAGAGGCACCAAAGTCACGTCAAAGAGCAGATGGGCAACAGGATCCCTGTGTTCAGGGACACAGGGGGCTCAAGGTGGCTGGTTCCATTCCTCCCACACCTGTAGACAAGCCCCTCTTCAGCACTTCAGCTCCAGTGCTCCACACCCCTCTGTCCTTTGGTTCTGTTCCCTTCGCAGTAGGAGGCAGGAGTCCCTGCTCACCTAAACATTTCTTCCTGTGTCTCAATCAAATTAAGCTATGCTGTTTTCTACTTGCTTTAGAAAATAGGGGAAAAATGGGTCAACAGGTAAAAATTTCCCCAAACCACTGTGAGGCTGAGAGAGAGGCTCACCTGGCTACACCCACACGTTATAGTTGGAAATGTTCATTGTCTAAGGTAGACAGGTCCAAATTAAGTGTACAAATGAAAACCAGTCATGGAGTGTCATCACGTGCAACACTGGAACACATGAAAACCAGGGGTTTCATTCAGGATGAATGGTGATAAGTTAAGATTTCATATCATCATCCTTAGAGCAACAACTAGGGAAAAAATACAAAAGGGCATAGCTAAAAAGCCTTAGGGGAGATAACATAGACTATTTTAAAATACTTGATTAATGTAAGCAAGACAAAGGGAGAAGGATACAAATAGAAAACAAATAGCAAGATGATAAACCTACCCCAGCATTAAATGTAAATGGACTGAACACTCCAACTGAAAGACAGAGATTGTCTGACTAGATAATTAAGCAAGACCCAGCTACATGCTGTTTGCAGGAGATACTATTTGAATATAAAGAAATACATAGGTGTTAAGCAAAAGGGTGGGAAAATATAGACTAGGTAAGAGCCAAGCATAAAGGCCAGCGTGTCTCTATTAAAAGCAGACAAAGTGGGCTTCAAGACAAGGAGTGTTACCCGGGACCAGGGGGCCAAGTCATCAAAAAGACATTACTGGGCAACCTTGGGCAAGTTATACAGTTTAATTTCTCCATCTGCAACATGATAATAATAGTAGTACCTGCCTAGTTAGGAGTATGGTGCAGATCAAATGATTTAATTCATGTTAAGTGTTTATAATCATGCTTGGCATGTAACAAGTGCTCTGTGAGTTGTTAGTGCTCAAGGTTATTAGAGTTGGACAAAGCCTCAAGCTCTCACCGTGACCCTGGCCTAGCTTCTTCCAAGGTGGGGCTCTGTGGGCTGCTGCGAGATAAGGTGTAAACACAGGCCACTAGCTGGTTCCTTCAGTTCTTTTTTCCTGGTGGTAGAAAAAGATAACAAAGGAGGTGTGTGTGTGTGTGTGTGTGTAGATCTCAGGCAGAGGAGTGGAAGGAATGAGGCAGCATGCATACAGTAAATCCTTTTGCTACTAGAACCGAGGGTGGAATTAAGGAGACATAGGGACTGGGGCCAAGAAGGGAGTAGCAACCAGGTGGGGTTTGGCTGACTGCCTGGTTTGACTGGTACTGGATGGGACATGGATGGCTCCAGGCTGACACAAGTCATCTTCCAGTCCAAGAAGCAGCAAGGCTGCCAGCACCTGGGGAATGCCAAGTTCACAGGGCAGAAATTACAACCATCTTTGGGCTTTTGCCCCAGGTCTCAGATGCACAGAGAATCCCCAGTGACCTTCCCTGCTTGCCCTGAGACCCCTAAGCCCCGGCTGTGATGGCGGAGCTTGCTTCACCTCTGGCAGGGCTGGAGAACCTGCCTGGGCTGAGCCAGCTTTGGAGTGAAGGCCTGTGCAAGGATGGGATTCCAACCAGGGATGCAGGAGGGCGGGTTTTGGGTCAGCGTTGGCGCTTTCTCCCAGGCTTGAGTTCTTCCTCCATGGGCATCTCTTGTTCCTCTCCTCTCCTTTCCTTTCCTTCCCTGACACTATCTCCCTTCTCACCTGCAGTGGCTGCCTAACTCCTTTGTATGAGAGATTTATTGACACCCGCTGTGCATCAGATCCTGGGGGCATCTCATGCTCTCCCTTCATGGGTGGTTGGTCAAGGCACCCCTGGCTTATAGACAAGAGAGCCAAGGGGTAAAGGCAATTGCCAGGAGCCTGTGGCTGATAAATGATAAAGAGCCAGGTTTTGAAGGTGGTCCCTTACTTCAAGTTCATTGTTCTTTAGTGATTGTAGTTTAAGGATTTAGGTCCAAGTTAATCTCCTTCAATGTACTGACTCATCAGAAATCTTCAAGGGCTTCCCATTGCCTAAAGCTGCAGTTTCCAAACTTTTTTGATCTTGTATCCCTCAAAGTAAAACATTTAGAGCACGTTCTCTATTACATGTCCATTTCAATCATCTGTGAACTTTCTGCGTGCATGAATGTACTCTTGTATTATGTGCATTAAAAAACATTCAAATATGGTTTAAAGATGAGATATATATATATATTACAAATAGAAGAGTCTAATATTTTCTCCCTGCCTCTGGGGATCAGCCTGTGAGTACCCCCAGGTTGGGTACACATACATTCCCATCTTGGAGACAGCTGGCCTGGAGGATAATGTGTCAACTCCTGGGCCTGGTACAGGGTCTGTCTGTCATCTAAAACCCTGGGCAGACTTCTTCCTGCAGCCATGCAGATCAGTGTCGAGGTACCAATCAGGCCACAGTCATTCTCAACTCCACATCTCTGCCCATACTCCCTCTTCTGCTCCCCTCTCCCCATTGCCAAGTCCTCCATGTTGCGTGAGCTCCAACCCAAACCCAGGTTCTCTGCAAAGCCCTTCTCTTCTACCCTGGAACCAGGCATATGTGTATCAGTCATTCTGCCTTCTTGATACTCACACCTGTGCTCCAATCTCAGCCTGCCTGCATCACCACTAAACTGTCTTGCCTGGCATGTTTCATTTTGCTGAGCATTTTATGCAGATACCACTATAATTACTTCCATTTCATAGCTGGATAAATGGAAAGAAGTCAAGTCATTTGTCCAAGGTCACACAATAAGTGATGAAGCTAGGATTTGTACCCAGGCCTGACATGAGAGTCTGAACTCTGATTTAGCACTAAACTCTATGAAGCAAAGGTGGTCTCCTACATTCCTGTTCATTCTTCCTAGCACCTAGCATAGAAATATGTATCTATATATAATTTTTAAATGAATGTTTGAATGGATGAAGGAATGACTCACCCAGAGCAATACCAAGAAGAAAGCCCATGGTAGAGGGGAGAGGTCCTCTTTCATTCCTACATCAGAATGACATGGACTGGCTCCTATACCTAAAGAACTCTGGGCAAGATGTCAAGTTTCAGATGTGGCTGCATCTGGGTGCTCAGGTGTCATCATCTGGATTCAGTATCTCTAGCTCCTGACTTGGCCATCCCCTGTGTTGACTGAGTCATTAGGCAGGCTCTGCTAGCAACTCCAGGGTCATGCCCTTTCAATTTAGCAACTCCGGCAGGAAGAGAGGGTGTCGTACGGCTCATTGCACCATTTTAAGTCATGGGCCTGTCCTGGATCTCATTTCTGTGGCCAGGGGGATGAGAATGAGCAGCTTGGTCAGTTCTGGATAGTAGGAGCAGGAGGGTGGGTAGTCCCATGCAGGTGGGTTTTGAGATACTGTAACCGGAAGATGGGAGAATGGGTGTGCACAGGTGTGAATATCAAGTGTCCACTTGACTTTGTCTCTTACAGGACTTGGTAGATTGGCAGAAGCCCCTGCTGTGGCAGGTAGGCCACCTGGGAGAGAAGTACGATGAGTGGGTCCACCAGCCAGTGATCAGGCCCATCCGCCTCTTCCACTCAGACTTCATTGAGTCCCTCACCAAGACTGTCTGGTGAGCCCTGCTCTGAGCCCATGGTGGACTCTCCCTCTCTACTCTACCTGATGGTGCCAGTCAGATTAAGAGGGGAAGGGGAAGTTGGGTCCCTTCCCAGACCCAAAGCTATACTCTAAACTCTTGAGGATAGTGGAACACACCATAGGCATAATCCATTCCTACATGTGGTTTGTCCATCGAGTGAGTGATGAGCCAACATGCAGCCAGAAACCACTTTGAGTGCCAGTCCTGTTCAATTTCAGGCTCCTATGAGGGTTTCCAGCCTCTAATGCTCATGGCAACAATTTTGCCTGCAATTAACCCCTTTGCCAGAAGAGGTCAGTATATCTCCAGCTGCACAGAGTCAGGAGCCGCAGAGACACAGTTCTTTTCTGCCAGTAACTCACATCAGAGACAGGGCAGATAGACTCACTGCCTCTCTGTTCTTTTCTCCTCTCTACTCACCCCCCATGGCAGTGTCCTCACCCCAGGTCTCCATATGCTTTCATATCATCTAATTCCCCCTTAGTCAGGAGGTGTGTCTCTGGGGATGCTGGATCCTGTCAAACCCCTGTGCACGTATCTCTCTTTCTGCAGGTACAATGTCCCCATCATCTGGATGCCCCTGATGCTGTACCTCAGTTGGTCCTACTACCAAACCCTCGCCCAGGGCAACGTTCGACTCTTCACATCCTTCACCACAGGTAATGTAGGTTCCTTCATGATTTGCCCCCGTGGCTCCTGGAGGCAGGAAACCTCCATGCTCTCCCTGGTCCTTAGTTTCTAAGAATACAGAGCCCCAAACCACATCATGTTTTCACATGAGACCTATCTGTAGAAATAGAAGAGAAAAATGTCAGACTCTTCCTACCCCAACCCCAAAGGATAGGGGAAAAAACACAATACTTTAGCAGAAACTAAATGAAATCATTTCATCAGGAGACAAAGAAATAAAAAAGGGGGCTTCTCACTGAGTCTAATACAAGAAAATGTGTGGCCTGGGGTTATTTGTCAAGAAACTAAGTGAAGTCATTCCATCAGGTGGCACAGCTGAGAGCTGGACTCAAAATGGTCCATGAACACAGCACAGCTTAGAACCTGGGACAGAAAGATTCATGCATGTTCTACCATGTGTCCTGGGCAGATGGCTGTGCGACAGATGCCCTGACTTGGAGTAACAATCCCACTAACCTCTACTGAGCACTTAACTTGTAGTTTCCAGGGACCAGCTCATTTAACCCCCAGTAGCCCCACGAGAAAGGTACTATCATCATGCCCTTTACAGATGAGGAAATGCAGCCTCAGAGAAGTTAAGTAAGCAATTCAGGGTTACTTGACTAGGATGTGTATTCCAGATGCCCCCAGCTTTGGGGATCAGGAGAGAAAGGGAAGTGCTGACATGGGGTGACTTCCAAACAGCCTATGAGACCGGGTCTACCAGGGCAGCCACAGGTTTAGATGTGACCACTTATGCTAGCCTGCCTCCCAAATTCACCACTTGCCTTGGGCCTCCAGGTAGATGCCACCTGCCCAGGTGGCCTGCCTGTCCTGGTGCAGCCTGCCTTAGGGAGTTGCAGACCCATGGCAGGTGGCTCAGATGGAAGCCAGGTTGGGGGACAGGTAGCAGAGGGGTACTGGGAAGAGCTCAGGGGGCTTTCCTTTCCTGATCACATGGCATATTTCCTACTGCAAGCCTTAAGAGCCCCTCTCTGCCAGCCACAGGCTCCTCCCATGCTCTGGGGCTTCTCTCCTGCCCACCTCTCATGGAAGCGGCTGAATGGTTTAGATGAGAGGGGCCATGGCTGCAGGAATGGGAGCCTCAGGAAGCTGCAGGAAGTCCCCCAGAATCCAGAACTGTTCCCAGTCACCAAGAGTTAACTTGCACGCCCTGTGAGCCAAGATTACCCTTTTCTGCCCACGCTGAATAGCTCAGGCACAGCACAGGGCTTGTTGCTGCAAAGCCTTGCTCACTGAATCGCCCACTGTACCCCCGGCAATCCCCTAACAATTGCCAACAGTGGCAAGGCCGCCAGGGTTGGCGGCTGGAGGGGGACGGGGATGCCAGGGCTTTGGCCCAGGTCCCTCTGCAGGATGCCTCCAGAGATGCCACTCTGTACCAGCTCCAGCCGGATGGGCAGACAGGGCGATGCTGGGGTGAGGGGGCGGGCAGGGACTTGACCTATAGGAGGGAAGTCTTCAGCAAGGCGGGGAGGGTGATCTGCAGGCTTGGTGAGAACTGCAGGCCTCTGCGGAGAGCTGAAAAGTGCCATCTAATAAAGGTCCAGTGTAGAGCCTGTGACCATGATGCCAGTGATGGTGGATGAGAGATATGTCTCTGCATGCCTCCCTCATCCCCCAGCTCATCAGGCAAGGCACAGGCTGCTGGCAGGGAAAATTAGAACCACGCGGCAAGACAGGGGAATGTTCAGCAGGGTCCCAGCGCAGCTGCCAGACAAAGGGCACGCTGGGATAAATGCAGAAGAGTCAGGATGCCACGAAGCAGTGGACGCTAAGTGGAGACACTAGTTCAAAGCTGAAATTCCTAGGGTTCTGTATGAAAATGCTGTGAAAAGCAGAGGGGTTCTGCAAATTCAGGCTGGCCCCCAGCGCAGTTCCTGGGAGCGGGTCAGAGGGCATGCTGAGCCAGAGCCGCTGCCCAGCGGCTTCCCAGGCCGGGAGGCAGGCCTCCAGTGCAGTTGTGTTGAGGGAGCCCCAGCAAAGGTCAAGACCAAAGTCTGTGGCCGGGTAGTGCTCTTCGGTGCGCTGTCCTCCCTCCCTGCTGACTAGGGAGCTAAACAGTAATGAAGAGTTCCTGCCTTCCGATCAGTGTTTGGTGGTTCTGCAAAAGGTTAAGCACCATTATGATATGACCCATCGATTCCACTCCTCGGCATATACCCAAGACAACTGAACATAAGTCCATACAAAACTTGCACATTTTTACAGTGGCATGATTCATGATAGCCAAAAAGTAGAAACAACCCAGATGTCCATCAACCGACGACTGGATAAACAAATGTGGTCTATCCAAACAACGGACTATTATTCAGCCTTAAAAAGGAATGGAGTCCTGAAACATGCTACAGTGGGCATGAACCTTGAAAATGTCATAAGTAAAAGAATCCAGTCATGAAAGACCACACATTTTATGATTCCATTTATATGAAATGTCCAGAACGGGCAAATCTGTAGAGAGAAAGCAGAGCTGAGGTTGCCGGGGCATCGTTGCCAGCCGGGGCCGTCTGCCCTGACCTTACCTTTCTCTCGCACCCACAGAGTACTCAGTGGCCGTGCCTGAGTCCACGTTCCCGGGCCTCTTCATACTGGGGGTGTTCCTCTGGAGCCTGGCAGAGTATATCCTCCACCGCTTCCTGTTTCACATGAAGCCGCCCAGCAACAGCTATTACCTCATCACGCTGCACTTCATCTTGCATGGCCAGCACCACAAGGTGAATGGGACGGCCTCCCGCCCCGGGCCGTGCGGCTGTAACTCAGACACGGGAGCTGCCAATCTTTCTAGGAGGCAGGCTGGGAGCAAGAGGAGATCAGGGCATTAGGGTCCTAATCTGAACTTAATCTGACAAGGGAGCGTGTATGTCGGGATGCCATCAGCATGAACGCGAGGCACTCTGAGGTACATTCCATGTGTCATCTTTAGTCCTCACAACTGGTTCATTCATTCATTCCTCCGTCCCTCCTTCCTCCCACCTTCCCTCCCTGCCTGCCTTCTTTTCCCAGGAGCCAGCACACAACCAGTCCTGTTGCTCCCGGCCAGAGGGGAGGGAGGCCCACATCAGCACATCACTCTGTGACTATCACAGGCTTCCTCCCCTTCTCTTCCAGAGAGGGTCTCTCTCTTCACAGAATGCTCACCATGCAGTCTTTAAAATCTTACCTCTAGATTAGAGCAGAAATAAATAAAATCGAGAAGAATAAAACAATAGAATCAATGAAAGCAGGAGCTGGTTCTTCAAGAAAATAAAATAGATAAACCCCTAGCCAGACTTATCGAGTAAAATCTTACCTCTTTGCCAGGCCCTTGGCTTTTAAAGCTCCGGAGCCTAAGCCTTGGCTCTCTTGTTCTCTGGTTCACTATGACCCACCCCCTTGGAACAAAGGAGGGCTCCAGTTAGGCCATGGGAGTGGGAGGAGGGCATCTGTGAGAGCTTCAGGGGCACTGTGCCACGTGAACCTGCATTAACCTCAGCTTGCCAGTGTGTCGCCTGCCAGACAGCACCAGACCTCCGGCCAGGTATCCCCCATGCTGTTTGGTGTTGAGGCTCCTCTAGCAGCCGACAAATTCCAGAGCCCACATGGCCTCTTGAGCACAAAGCAGAGCCCTGAACTGCAGGCATCCTGCCCACATCACCTCCACCATCATGTTCTTGGGCTGGTTTTCGGGTCCCATCCCGGCTTGGAAACTGGGAGCAAGACACCATCTCTAGGGTTTTCAGGCATGGTTGTCTGCCCTCCCCAAAGCCTCTGGAGGTGCCAAGCCCACACATGACAGGTCACTGCCCCTTGCTGGGATGTCCACATGCATGTGCTCTGACTGCAGGCAGGCGCCACCTGGCCGCATTCTGATACGGGCACCTCTCCATCCACAGGCACCCTTTGATGAGTCCCGCCTGGTCTTTCCTCCTGTGCCAGCTTCTCTGTTCATTGTCCTCTTCTATGCATTCTTACGGCTCCTCCTGCCCGAGGCGGTGGCAGGCTCTGTGTTTGCGGGAGGCCTCCTGGGCTACGTCATCTACGACGTGACCCACTACTACTTGCACTTCGGCTCACCACACAAGGGCTCCTACCTGTACAACATGAAGGCCTACCACGTCAAGCATCACTTCACACACCAGAAGTCAGGTGAGGCCGACGCCCCGAGGCCCCCTCATTTGTGCATGTACTTATTTGACAGCTGCCACTGAGCCCTTACCAAGGGCCAGGCACTGGGTACTGGGAGTACACAGGCAGCAGGCAAACCTGGGGCTCCCGTCTTACCTGCTGGTGCGGGGGATTGTGCAGGACAGACAAACAAAGAAATCAATAACTAGCAAAGATCATGTCAGACAGAGTTAAGTGCCACAAAGAAAAATAAAACAAGAAGGAACCAGACAGGTGGAGGAGGGGTCTGCCTCTGCCTAATAAAATATAATGTGAGTCACAGATACGATTCTAAATTTTCTGATAGCCATATAAACAAGTGATAATAGACAAATGAAATTAATTTTAACAGCCCAATACAACCAAAAATTATTTCTCCAACATGTAAGCAATATAAAAAATTGTTAAAAAGATATTTTACATTCTCTTTCTTATATTAAGTCTTCAACATCTGGTGCATATTTTGCACTTACAGCATACCTCCATTCAAGTGCTAACTTTTTGTTGGAAATACTTGATCTATATTAAGAGTTTATAAAATTTGCAGTCAAAGAAGGTAGATTCATGAACATGAGTTGCTCCAAACATGCTTAAAAATTTTCCAGTAACTGAATTGGGTCTAAGTTTTTAAATTAACATTTAAGTTAATTAAAATTAAATGAAATTAGGCATTTAGTCCCTCCATGGCTCTAGCCATGTTCCCAATGCTCATGCAGCCATGTGGGCTGGTGGCCACCATGTTAGAGGGCAGAGTGCTAGTGGTCCACGGAGGTATCACTGCAGAGACGTCATCAGAGCTGAGTCCTAAATTAAGAGAGGCCAGCACCCGACATCTGGGGAAAGAGCATTGCAGGTGCTAAGCCTTGAAGCAAGAAAGAACTTGGCATCTTCAAAGAGACGCAGGAGGCTGAAGCTTGAGAGAGGAGGAGGAACAGGTAGGTGGGGGCCGGACTCTCCCAGGAGGTCAGGCCAGAGAAGGAATTTGGATTTATTCCAATGGCATCCCTGGGATACAACAGACAGAGGTACACTGCTCTTGACTTCTGCCAGGATGGTTCTTAAGTTTGGAAGGGCCAGCAGGGACAAATCTGCTGGCCCCACCAGACTCCCTTCCTGAGAAAATTTATCCCACGCCTTCGCTAGCACCTCATCTTCTCCCCATTTGTCTCCCTCCCTAGGATTTGGCATCAGTACTAAATTGTGGGATTACTTATTCCACACCCTTTCACCAGAAGAGCCCCACCCGAAGACGCAGTGACAACTCCCAGCCCCGCCCTCCCGGCCCCTGCCCTCCCCACCCAGCCAGACCCTGCACAGCTTGGCCTGGCCAGGCAGGAGCAGCTTTGTCCTGCCCTCTGGCTCAGTGGAGGGTGCTGGCAAGACTCTGAAGACTGAGGCTGGCCCTGTGACTGTCTGCCTGACCCACCACAGGAGGGTCACATCCACTTGGTGGCCAAATGCCTCTCGGGGACGGGCTCCTTCCCAGAGCCTCCTGGCCCCTCCGCTGGCATCCCTGCCTAGAACCTAGCCCACAGGACTGCTTAGGACTCAGCCAGGCCCTTGGCTTTTAAAGCTCCGGAGGCCAGAACTTCTGGCCAGCTCAGTCTAGGTGAAAGTCAGCCAGCGGGGACTTTGCCAGGGGGAATGAAGGAAACTGACCCCTGGCGCTAGGCCTGAGCACCCCCAGGAGCTGCCCCCCCACAGCGCAGCTGCCTGGGGAGGATTTGGTGGCTCCAGAAACACTAAGGCGGATGAAGGGCTCTCATGAGAAGAGACAGCATGATGCCTTCTACAGGCCACCCCCAGATCCTAGGGCAGCACCTTTGCCCCCTGCCAAACAGGCTGTGGCCTACCCAGCATCCACACACCCAGCCCTCACCTGCCTGGGCCCGTGGGCTAAAGTGGCTGGCGCTGGCCTGAAGGCTGGTGGGAGCCCAGGCTTTTCTTCAGGAACTGCCAGCTCTAGCCATCTCTCTTCTGCCTCCAGAATCATAAAGCTTTTCCCCAAGGGCTACAGAGACCTCTCCATGGGCGGGAGTCCCACCCTGTTCCCAGCTGTTCTTGGCCCTCACCTGGCATAGCTGGGCCCCTGGCCCCACACTCAGGACCCTCCCAGTCAGTGCCTCCTGAAGCGGAGAAGGAGCCTCCACGTGGTGCCTTATCTCCCTCTCCCTTTGCTTCCTGGCCACCCCCCAGCAGGTGACGTTCCTGCCCCTTCTTCCTCATAACCAAAACCCTCACTGCTCTTAAGAGGGTCTTATTTATAAACTCCACGAATGCCCTTAGTCTGACCCCAGACCAAGTAGCTGCTCAGACTGCCTTAACTAATCCTACGTGTCGAGCTTATATAAAAAAGTTTTGTCCTATTTTGTTCCTTTCTTACCCACAAACTGTTACTACTTGAAACTTAAAAAAAAACTCGAAGAGTGTAAAGGCTAAAGAGAAGCATTTTGACTGTTCCTGTGATTTGTACTGTTTACTGCAGACTTATTTAAAGATTTTGGAATAAATATACAAACTACAGTTGTGAAATAAAGGTGTAAATAAATTGTATATTTTGAAAAATAAAAACATTGATAAAGAAACTCACAAAGATTAGTTGCTACTTGTGATGGCGACTAATCAGATTTTACCTTGGCTGGGGACTGGCCATAAGGTAGTGGGATTGGGGGGAGTGGCGGTCCAGCTGGGAGGAGTATTTATTTTATCACTGACCAGATTGGGCAGGCTTGCTGGGACATGGTGATGATAAAAAGATGATCAACTCTTATCCTCTTACTCAGTTTTATTATTGTTTTAAAATTCTCTGCAAACAGCATCTCCCCTTACCACCTGCACCTGTAGGGGAAGGGGTCACTCCCAGCAATGCCTGAGTGCACCACTGGGGAGACATTTTTTCTGGAATTTATCAGACCCTAACTGGGATTACAGTTGACTTTCCGAAAGCAAAGGAGAAATGCTCTAGCAACAAATGCTTGTCGTGGAAACTAGAACTTCTGGCCAGCTCAGTGTAAGTGAAACTGTTTCTCAGGATGCCTCTTCAGCCACCAATCAGAACCACCTGGGGAACCTGTCAGAGCGCAGAACCAAGACCTCCACACTCAGAGTCCGGTTCAGGAGGTCCAGTGGAGGCAGGCTCTGGGTGTGCCTGCCCAAGGATGCAGAAGCAGATGGGGAAGCAGAAGCAATCCCCTGCCACCTCTCTGCACTCTAGCAGCCATGTATGTATCCGGGCAGCACCCAGCCTGAAGATAAGTGTGACCTGTCTGAGCCACCTGTCCCTCAAGCCCCTGGTATCTATCACTGGGATCGGCCCATCCAAGCCACAACAATCACAGCCTCCATTTCCTAGATGGTAATCAACTGGAAATCAAAAGGAGGAGGAAGGAAGAGATCAACTAGTGGTAGATATGTGTCCACCAGAGAGCAATCTAAGATGACAAATTTGAGCAAAAAAAGGTAATTGGAAAAAAAAAAACTTTTAAAAAGATTGAAACAGAGCTAGTAAGAAATGCCAAAAATCTAAACGAGTTCACAGCATGGTAATGAAATGTAGGGGAAAAGGGAGAAAAAAAACCCCAAAGTCCAAGCCAACCTATTAATGAAAAGGTCCACTCCATGAACATCAGACAGATTCCCCCAGAGCTTCCTGCTATGCCTGCTATGACATTCCAGGAAGACAGGAGTTTCCAGGAGGCCACTGGAAAGGAGTGAGTGAGCCCCACTGTACAGAAGAGAATATAGCAAGTGCCACGAGGCCCTAACCCTCAAGCCAATTGGCACTCATGATTCAGTCCCCACTCAGTGACCATATGGTAGAGTCAGAGAATTTTATTAAGTGCAAGAGGCATAAGTTAGAGGCAAAGATTAGATGCTAAAGCAATCCAGGGACATTTATCAGAATGCCAGCACATCTAGCATGATGGGAAAGCCTGGAACTCATGGCACAGGATTAGGTTTATTTCTGAAGTGAGAGAAGACACAAAAATCATCAAAGTTTGTTGTTTGCTTGGACAAGGGGGCATTTGAATTCTGATGGGTGTGAATATGCAGGTTGACTGACTCAGTGATCCTAGCCATTGACCTTAACTGCTTCTCTAACAACAACCCAGCTGCCCTGGCAGAAGATGGGCCCACAGCAGTTACATTTATTTCTAACACTGTGCTCGTACTTCCAGAAGGCTGTCTTTGGGGGTTTCCTGCTGACCTGAAGAACTGCCCTCTTAACTCAGTTCTGTTCCACTACTACATTGGCTCTGGCCTCCAATCTCTGCCTTTGAACTTTGTACAATTTCTTACTGTGCCCAGCACAATGCCCAATTTGTAACAGGCCCCAGTAAATGTTAGTCTTGTCTCTATGGGATCTCTGGCAGGTACAGTAGTTGGTGCATCTCCACCTGTTCGCTGGTCTCTGCTGCCCTCTGGTGACAATGTGAGGCTCTGCCGCCATGTGACTGCCCTCACAGTGACTGCTTCGGGATCAGATGTCTGTGATTGTAAAATTCCAGCACTTCCCCACCTTACCTCTTCTCTTGACTTACTGTTTTGTCTCATCTACCACTTCTGAGGGGAAGCTGGAACTATGGATATGAACTTTCCAGTTCTAACTCTACAACATTAGAGTTATGATGGCTGCAAATCTCAATTGGAGTTTTCTTTAGTTAGATGGTAACAGCACAACGAATACCTTTTCTCTGTTAATGATGCTACAGGATGAATGTAAATTTGGAAAACGCCAGGACTCTCATCTTCACTCCATCCCAGACACCTTCTAATCAGAGGAAAAGCATAAAGGTGGGATCCTCTCTTCATTCGGTCTCCTAAAAAGCAAAACTTAATAAAAGAACATGGTTGCAGGCAGTCTATTTGGCAGGCAAATGCAGAAACAATGAGTGAAAGATGGGGAAGGACTGGAAAGGGAAAGTGGGGGAACCATACAAAGATGACTGTGTGTGGTTCTCATACAGATTCTGCAGGGGCATCTTGAGAAGCAGATAACCTGCCAGAATGGTCCACCTAATGGACAAAAGGCTAGAGCATTTATCCACCAGCTTTCTCTCCTGTTTGTGGAGGATTGCCTTCAGAGGCACAACTCCCTTCTCACTTATGGGCTGTCCTGGCATGCATGCCAACCAGATTTCTTGGCTTTGACCAAGGTCCTGGAGCAAAAGCAGAAAAATGGATGTGTGCACTTGAAGTGGGATGCAGTCAGTATGAGCAGAGCGTGAGCTTGCTAAGAATTATCCCCCAGAACTGTGGTTGAAATAAAAACTGAGGCAGTGTTTTTACAGAACCTTCCACCACAACTCAGGTTAAGACCAGAGATGGACAGTAGGGATATGACAAGGATCCCAAAGGGCTACATCCTGAATGTAAGAGGGCACCGGAAATAAACCCACCTTCCCAGGGCACTGCAAGTAAAACTGCCTGCGTGGAGCACAGAAGGGCTCTTTTGAGAATACAGAATCACAAGCATTGCCCTGATGAAGGTCTGAAGCCTGAATTCATGCAAACTTGGTGGTCTGAAACACCTCAAGTCAAAATGTTAATGTAAAATATCCCTGGACGGTGGATCCACAAGGCTCTCTGAAGAAGCACTTGCAAATTTCTGTGAGGAAATGCAACTTTAATCCAGGTCTTGAAAAAAAAAATCACAGATAAAATTCCAAGGACTGTAAGCTCCCAATAAAAATAAAACAAAACAGCAAGGAAAGAAAGTACCATGAGTAAAAGCTGATAGAAAAACATGCAACAGAAATATACCTGCAAAAACATCAGACATTGTAATTATGAGATGTGCTAGATACCTTCCATTTGCTCTCCAGATTCACTCGGTCTTTCCGCCTCACACTCAGTACCCCAGGGACTGATCTGGGTGAACTGCATCAGTGTTTTCTTTTGCTCATTGGCTGCCTGTTCTGCAAATACAGGCACCTGCAAGAGATTGGCAGAATGGAGGAAAGTGAAGTCCAAATGTTTATTCCCATCACTCTTTGTAATTTTCAGTGTGCACTTCTTTTCACCCACTTGATTACATTTATTCCTAAATAGTTTATTTTCTCAATTATTATCATAAGTAAAATTGTTTTCTTAATTTTCTTTTTGTTTATTTCATTGTTGGTGTATAGAAACTGATTTTTTAGTTGATCTTGTACCTTGTAACTGCTGAATTCATTTATTAGCCCATGAAAAAAATTTTTTATGGACTCTGAGTTTTCTATGTACAAAATTATGTCATCTGTGAACAAAGATAGTTTTACTTCTCCTTAAAAAAAAAACATCTAATACATTTCAACATACATTTTTGAGGGACTCACATGTTAGAAAACCTGGAAAAAATATGTAATTCTTCAACATGATTTCTAAAAAACATCTGTTTTAATGGACACACATTAGATGAATGTCTGTCAAAATGAAGAACAAGAAAATTATGCACATCATCACCATTACTAGGGAAAACTTTTCTAGAATTTACGACTATTCAATAAGGCATGATACAAGAACAGAAGCGTAAACACCTTTGCTTTGTGCCATTCACTACATCTGTACTTAAATAATGACTTACATTGTCACTTGTTATTTCCCCTGCTAAATAGAAGCTCCATAAAACCAGGAACTAGATCTGTGTTAGTTATGGGGACATCCCCAGTGCCCAGAAAAATACCTTTCACAAGAAGATATTTAATAGGTATATTTTGGATGAATAAAGGAGGATTTCAGAGTGTAGCTGGGGAAGGAAGTCAGCAAATCTCCTCCTCAAAGAGCAAGTGTGAAGTTCAACAAAAATGACAAAAACAACTATTCCCATACTCTGGAAATCTACCAAAGGCATACCATCATTTGAGAAGAATTTCTGTTTGAAAAGCTGCAGAATTGTTAAGGCTAGAAGCCTATAGTGTTCTTTACTGGCACTGCTCCCAAGCTTGGCTGATGTGAATATTATGACAGAGCATGACAGGCTGAGACAACTAGCAGTTTTGCTGCTGTGGTCACACTGGCACACGTGATTTGGAAAGATGGGCCATGCCCAAGCAGGAGAGCCAGTGGGTGTGACAGTCTCTGCCAATGACTCCACTAGCCTGAGGTTGTGCTGGGGTCAAGTATAGTATTTGAGATTGCACACATCCACGGCAAGACCAGAGAAGGCGCAAGCCCTCCACACGCTCCTGGCCAGCATTGAGGCTGCACTTGTGCAGAATACATGCAAAAGCGCCCAGGGGAAAGAAAAATTAGGAGAATTTGAAGTGGCTTGAGCTTTGAATGTGGTCTCTTCCCCACACAGAGATCCATCAGCAGACAAGAGCAACCTCATAGACTGAACACATCAGAGTCCAATCATTGTTTTGTCCAATTGTTGCTGACCACTAAGCTACATAGAAAGACAGGTGAGCCCTAGTAGGTCAAGTGCAAAAGTAAGGAAGAACAACACAACAATAATAAAGGAGTGGAGACATTCCCAGCCTCCAGGGAGACTAATTCTACAGTTAGCCTAGGCAATTACTAAACAAAGCAACAAAAGCAAATGTCGGGAGAGAAAATCATAACCCAGAGTTATAATTTATTATATAGTATCAGTGTTAAAATGCAACGTATTATAGAATACATAGTTTTCTGTGAAAAATTATGAGATATACAAAGAAATAAGGAAGTGTAACCCATATTAGGAGGAAGGGGGGCAGCTAATAGAAACTGTCTCTGAGAGTCTAAGTTACACTCTATGCCCTCTTAACTTTCCTCAGGCTGACCTGTGCAAACCCAGGCTTTCTTGCTAACTGGCTGCAGTCAGGTTCAGCCAGGGGTAGACATCTGTAGGGGTGGGAGGTAGGGGGGCTGACGGAGAAGAGAGGTTTCCCATTGTCCTCTGCTATGGCTGCATCTCTGGCTACATCTCCTACAAGTTCTAGTCCCAGCTAATACCATCTTTTTTCTTTGTCCCTTTAGCCCTGGAGATGGTAGTACTTGCCTGCTTATCTCTGGGTGTCCCTACTGTCCCATTAACCCTTTAGCTCTTTTAATACTTTGTAGCAATTTTCCCATGTTGAATTCCCTCTCAATATGTCCACCAGTCACCTATGGATGGACATTGTGTTGTTTTCAGTCTTTTGATACTTAAAAAAAAATGCTGTAAAAAATAGCCTTGTGCATTTATTTATTTTGCAAGGGTATATTTGGGATAGATTCTTAGAATTGGAATTATTGATTTAAAGGGTAAATGCCTAGGTCTAAACAGCCAGAAGAAATGTTTTAAGCTAAAGTGTCTTTTCCAAACCTTAACTTCTTTTTTGAAAAATCAGTTAAAGGAGTTTCAAAACATTCAGGACTTAACTTTCTCTTTGGGGTAAAATATCTTCTGTTGAGGTGAAGTGAGAGAAGAGAGCAGCCTTTTCTTGAATCTTTTTTAGTAAGGGGAGTGAGGAGAGGACCTGAGGCCATTTTTGAGAGAAGCAGCCCATGTAGGACATTTCAGAGTTCTGGCACTAGGTAAGGACGGCCATAGTGACACTTAGAATATGTTGTATTACCTGGTCTGTAGCTTTAGCTGGTCAAGGTCACTGACCTTCACTCCAGATAGAAAAAGGAATACTGAGTGAATTCTTTTCTAATGTCAGGAGTTGGGTGAAGAGAGTCAGAACCTCAGGGACTACAGTCTTCCCCACACAGTATTTGGGATTAAGCAGAGAAAGAACAAAAACCAGGGAGAATGTTGGTCTCTGTGGGAAAGATGAGGAAGAGATATTCAAGGTCTCTCCTGCCCATCCTCCTCTCTACTCCACCCTGAGGATGGGTCCTGAATAAAGGTTTAATCCAGAGACCATTGGGATCATAATATTAGTGAAGGAGTTTTCAAAGGGATTAAAAGATCTCAGGCATGCTAGTCAACTCTATGGAAGTATCTGCTTATTTCAGATCTCATACTTTACACTGTTACTATTTTCTCACAGGATAGAATTCTGGTTATTATCTTTCAGCACTTAAGATACCATTCTAGAAGCTTCTTTGCCTTGGCAGCTTGCCAGTGTCTTCAAATGGATTTTTTTGTGTTTTACCTGGCATTTCTTGTTTTCTGGGCAAGAGCACTGGTCTACAGCAATGTATTCCATCATAGCTGCAAGTCGCAACTTCCACTCTTAATTATTGGAAATTTATATACTTTGATATCTAGTACTATGGATTCTCTGTACCAGGATTAGTTTTGTTAATTTATAAGCTCTTACTGTTTAATTACCCACATGAACTTTAGAATATCAGTATCAGGTACCACCAGCCATATTACCAATTTCACCAAATGTATCCTTTTATTTGTAATCAACTTTTATGACATTGAGTATCTAGGAACATGATCTCTTCCTTAAATTATATTTTTTTTCTTTTTTGCTTTATTTTAGTAGGTTCTAAATATTTCTGATTAAGTTTAATCCTGGTTTCTAATTGTTATTGTCAATGGGCTCTTTTTACAAAACTATGTTATATATATATTTTGTAGATAATTATTTTTTATTGAAGGGTAGTTGACACACAGTATTACATTAGTTTCAGGTGTATAACACAGTGATTCAACATTTATATACATGATAATTCTAGGTACCAGCTATTACCATACCAAGTTGTTACAATATTTGACTATATTCCTTATGCTATACATTACATCCTGGTTACTTATTTATTTTACAATTGGAAGTGTGTACTTTTTTGTTTGTTTGTTTTGTTTTGGTTTTTTTTTTCTGTGAGGGCATCTCTCCTATTTATTGATCAAATGGTTGTTAACAACAATAAAATTCTGTATAGGGGAGTCAGTGCTCAATGCACAATCATTAATCAACCCCAAGCCTAATTTTTGTCACACACCCACATATACCACATTTTCTCTAGCTCTTCATCTGCTGATGGACACTTAGTTTTCCATACCCTGGCTGCTATAAATAATGCTGTCATGAACATGGAAGTGAAAACATCTCTTCAAGATCCTGATTTCCTTTGTGTATGTATCTAGAAGTGAGATTATTGAATCATGTCATAGACATATTTTTAATTTTCTTAAGGAATCTTCATACTGTTGTCCATACTGGCTGTACCAATTTACACTCCCACCAATAGTGCATAAGGGTTTCCTTCTCTCCACATCCTTATCCACACCTGTTCTCTCTCATCTTTTTGATGATAGCTATTCTTATATGCCTGAGGTGATATCTCATTGTGGTTTTTATGTGCATTTTCCCTGATGATTAATGATGTTGATCATCTTTTCATGTGTCTGCTGGGCATTTATATGTCTTCTTTGGAAAAATGTGTGTTCAGTTCCTCTGCTCATGTTATAATAGATTTTTTTTTTTTTTGCTATGAGCTGTATGAGTTCCTTATATATTTTGGATAATAATCCCTTTTCAGATACATGGTTTATAAATATTTTCTCCTATTCCATAGATTACCTTTTCATTTTGTTAATTGTTCTTTCACTGTGCAGAAACTTTTTAATTTGAGATAGTCTAACCTACTGATTTTTGCTTTTGTTGCTTATGCTTTTGGTGTCATATCCAAAAATTCTTCACCAAGATTAATGCCAAGGGGCTTTTTCCCTGTGCATTCTTCTAGAAGTTTTAAGGCTTCAGGTCTTATGTTTAAGTCTTTAATCCATTTTGAGTCAAATTTGTGAATGGTGTAAGACAGAGTTTCATTCTCTTATGTGTGAATATTGAGAGAGAGAGAAAGAAATCTTTCTACAAAATGATCAAATGTCAAGCCCCAAAGAGTACCTCAGTAAATCCCAAAAGGGCCAAATTCTCAGACCATATTGGAACAATTAACAACAAAACAAATGTGCATTTATACAGATGTGTATGGTATATTATATTTACTGTCAGAAAAAGAAAACAAAATATTCCTCCAAAATTTTTTAAAAACCTTTCAAAGAAATTCCTATATAAAAGAGCAAATCAAAATTGGAATTACAAACTATTTAGAAGCAAGTAACAATGATGTGAGACTATTACAAGAAAATTTATGGGTGAGGCCAAAGTATATACATAGGAAAAGTTATAGCTATAAATGCATTGTATCCAAGAATAAGAAAGATTAAAAATAAAGCATTCAGTTCAGGAAGTTATGTAAGGAACCACAAAATAAAGTAAAATGAAGGAATCAATGAAGGTAAAATCAAATATTAATTCAATGAAAAGAGCAAAAACAGAAAAGTTGATCAAGAAAAAGAAAGTTCATTCTTTAAAACAACCAATAATATATTCAAACTTTTGGCAAATATGATAAACATGAAGGAAAAGAGAACAAAACTAACAATATTAGCAATAAGAGCACAGATATGATTTAATATTTTAAAAATATTAGCAAAAAGAACAAGTAACACTGTATACCAATTAACTCAATAAATATGGATGAAAAGGATGCATTTGCAGAATAATGATTCTCAAACCTGACTGTGCATCTGAATTTCCAGGAGGGCTTGTAAACACGATTACTGGGTACTACTTCCCGAGTTGCTGATCCAGTGGTCTGGGGGTGAGACATTGCATTTCTTTGGCTCTCCCACTCCCCCATAATGTGCAACCCCGTTTAATGCTCACAGCCCACAGGTAAGGAGGCTGGGAAATGGTTTGAGGCTGCAATTTTCCTGGCATGCTCTGAGAGGCCCACAGAGAGGGGCCCACCAGAGGCATTGCATTTCTAACAAGTTCTTGGAGGTGCTGGTGCTGCTGGTTTGGGAAAAATACTTTCAGAACCACTTTCTAGGAAAATATAAATCCCAAATTTGACAAGAATAAATTAAAAGCCAAAACTCTAAATATAAAAGCTAAAACTATAGAACTCTTAGAAGGAAACACAAGGGTAAATGATTGTGACATGCAAAATATCAAATAAAAGATTGAATTTTAAAAACTCTTAAGGATCAGATGAGAAAAAAAAAACACATAATCATCTCATTAGATGCCAAAAAAATCATTTGAAATTTTCAAGAGAAAATAATAGGTGAGAATTTGGAGATAGCAAGTGGAAACTGTTTTTCCCACCTATTTCATTGAGCTGTTGAGGTTAGCTTTGTTCAAAGGTACTTTGGAAACTGTTTCCATGGCCTTGTATTTATTTAAATGCATCCTCCCAAACCTCAGTATCTTCATCTACAAAATGAAAATAACCACCAGGACTTCGTGCTTTCAAAGCATGTAGAATATACAGCAGGTGAAGAGAGACATTTGTGATCGTCAGTATCATCATTCATTGATGAACCCAGTTGCCGTTGGAAGTACAGCAAACAAGATTCAAACCGGCTTAAACAATAAGAAAGGTTATTGGCTCATGAAACCTGTAATTGAGGAGTAGGGTAGACTTCAGGGTCAGTTCAAACCAGTGGATCAATATTGAACTCAGCTTTTCTTTCCATTCTGCTACCCATAGGTTAGCCTCATTCCAAGGCTTTAGGATTGGGGCTCCATGCTTTCTTGCTCATAGTTAGGGAAAAGAGAGAGATTAAGAATTAGGATCTGGCTTCCTGGGCTGTATTAGCAACATTCCTCTCCATTCAAATTAGCCTTCATGCCCAGTTTTGAACCAATCACTGTGATAGGCTATTAAGAATTGTCTGATGGCTTAGATCATTCTCAACCCCTGAATTATTGACATTTGGGGCTGGATAGTTCTTCATTGTTGGGGGGAGCTGTCCTGTGCATTGTAGTACCCCAATGTCTACCTGCTTGATGTCAACAGCACCCATCCTCCAGTTGTAGCAACCAAAGATGTCTCCAGACATTGCCAAAAGTCCGCTGGGGGGCAAAATCACCTTCAATTGAGAACCACTAGCTTAGACACATCAAGTCTCACCCCTGCAAGGGGCCAGCTCCCCCCACACTCATTGCTGAATGAGGGAGGAGCAGAGAGCCACTGAAAACATGGGAAGTATTAGGAAGTAGAAAAATTGGTATTTACAAAGCCTGCTTTGTAAGCAACACAAATGTCCCGCACAATTTCCACATCTGGAAGATCTCTTGAGTCTCCATGTAAATGCCTCTGAGAAGGGCTGCACTTATAACATGGGATCTTATTGATGCATAGGCCAGTGGGCAGGCTGGAACAAATTTACAGCTGGCTAAAAACACGAAAGAGAGGGCTGGAGTGAGGACTGGGGAGGCGGGGATGCTCAAGAATTGGGAGAAGAGACAGGAGGGAAATTTGAGACTGACAGAGGCCAACTCTGTTACAATCCTTAATGAATGAATACCCTTGGCCAACTGTGGCCAGGTTTGCAAATTGATGTTCATGGGCAATATGCAGTTGGCAAACATGTTTTATTTGACCCACACAGTGTTGGATTGCACAGTCTTCAAAACAATTTTTGGCTTGGTTGCAAGATTTTAAATCAAGAGATTTAACATAATCCAAGTTCTGACTGCTTTTTAAAAACTGGAAGATCTTTCCCCACTGGGCCCTTCATTCTTGAAGAGCAACAGTTGGTAATTTTCTGAGTAACCCTTGCCTTCTTTTTACAAGCCTGATCCTTCCAACCCACCATCCTATAGTCACCCCTATACCTTGGCAGGATATATATTTTTTAAATCACCTAAACTGACCGAAGAAATAGACCCCAAAAATAGGATGACTCAAATGCAGTAGAAGTTTATTCCTCACTCACTTAATGGTCCATGGCAGATGTTCTGTGAGGAGCTCTCCTCTAAGCAATGATTCTAGGATCCAGGATTCTTCCCTCTGGGGACTCCACCATCCTTCTGGGGGCTCCATGACACCTAGGGCCGCAATACCGTCTGCATCCAGTGGACAATATATAGCAGAAACACACCTGCGTCTGTTGAAAGTAGCACGTATTTGAATCCATTCACACCCCATTGGTGAGAATTAGTCACTGTAGTCTTTAGCTGGACCAACACCTCAGCCACAACTCTGTCATTAAGGAAGGGCAGAATGCATTTTGGTGGAAAGCAGTCCATCTCTATCTTACGTGATAAAGGTGGGGAGACCTCCTAAGGCACTGAAATCATAGGCACCCTTGGTGTTCCCTTGGCCAAATTGTAAATACACAGGAGATTCTGGGACTTAAACCAGATTCCATCAGTTTCTTCCAGGTATGGATATGTTACAGCAGATCATCTCCTTAGGCTGGCTTATCTACAAACAGTGTGAAGAAGTGAAATACTGCCAGAAACAGTGCCAGCGTCTGAGGAACCGGGTCTATGGCCTGCTGCAGCTGCTGCAAATGCTCCAGGACCAAGGGGACAGGCACCCATCCGCTGAGCTAACCACTGTCCTGACCCGCTTCCAGGCTGTCCTACAGGAAGCTAAGGCAAGGATAGATACCTTCAGTGATAAATCCAAGGTCTGGAAGTTTGTAAAGGCAGTGCATAACAAAATACTCTTCAGGGACGTGAATGAGAGTCTGAGGGACATGGTGCAGGACCTCTCTCTGCTGCTTCAGGTGGATCAACAGACGTTTACTTCAAACATCAGCCAAAAAGCAGTCTGGCAACAGGAAGACCAGCAGGATGCGGAGGAAGACTTGCAAGTCTTCCAAAGGCAGAGAACTGGTAAGGTTTATTGGGGGGACCAGGGGGAGAGCAAATGGGGGCATTTTAAGCCCATTTTTATTTACCAAAGGAGCTGGAAGGCCGAAGAGGTTTGAATAGGGTAGCTCAAACTCCTAACACCCCCTGGGCCTGGATATGGTGGGGGCTGATGAAACTTTGGCAAGTGAGGGTGGGGGAGGGCAGGGTGTCAGGAATGACACTAATAGGTCGTCTTTGCCTCTCCGTTCTCTCTTTGATGTGATACCTGGAATTCCAGAAGCTAATTCCTTTCAACCTTAGTTTTTCCAGGACCTTCAGTTACTATGTAAATTATCCAGAAAAAATAATTAACTAATTACCTAAACAAACCAGAATTGTTTATCTGCTGTGTGCCAGGCATTGTTCTAAGTGTTGGAGATACAACGCGAAGCATAATAGACCAGATCTCTCCTCAGGAGGTGTAAAGTGTGCAGACAGAGGGCTAAGTAAATCGTTGCATCTGAGGGCAATGAACGTCATAAGCAGGGTCCTGGACTGAAAAGTGACAATGGATGAAGAGAGTGGTCAGAGAAAGCCTTCCTGGTGCGGTAGTATTTGAATGGACACCTTGAATAATGAGAAGGCACAAGCCTCATGATGATGAGGGAGAGGAACATTCCAGGCAGAGAAAACAGTGAATTCAAAGGCCCTGAGGTGGGGATAAATACAGCATGTGCAAGGAACAGCCAGAAGGCCAGGATGGCTCTGATTTGGTAGGCAAGGGAGAGAGAGGTACCAATGAAAATGGGGAAGTAGGCCAGGAGATACAAGAGCAGGACTGTAGGTATGGTAAGCTTAGATTTTACTCTAAGAGTCATAGAAAGCAAGTGAAAGGAGGTACTTAAATGTGGGCCTGTCATGATTTGATTTGAATTGAAAGAAAATCACTCAGGCTGCCATGTGATAATGGACTACAGTGATGTGTATTAGTCAGTTATTACTTCACTAATGCTGCATAACAGCATATACCAAAACTCAGAGGCTTAACGCAATAGTCAGTAGTTCTCATGCTTACAGAGCTGTGGATCCGTTAGGGTTCTGCTGATTTCATGTGGGTTTGGCTGGGCTTGGCTCCAGGCACACCAGGTCCAGTATGGGTATGCATCTGCCATGTGTCTCATTCTGGAGCCAAGGCCAAGGAGTATTGAGCACCTGGAGAATGTTCTTCTCAGGGCAGAATTGCAAGTAGCCAAGTTCGTCTGAGCCAGTACATTTCAGGCTTCTACTTGTATCAAATTCATCAACATCCAAAGCAAATGATATGGCCGAGCCCAGCGTGAAGGGACTGGCAGCCCAGAATGCCCATTGAGAGGCTGTGGCCAGAGTATGGATTCGTAATACCACTATGTGGACATGAAGAATTGGAACCAAAATTCAACATACCCTGGTAAGGGGCAAGAGTGGGAGTGTGAGCCCAATCAGGAGACCACTTTACAGGCTGTGTAAGAGATGACATGGGCTTGAACCAGAGTAGCCTGGTTGGACTTAGTAGAGAGCAAGGCGTTGAGGGGATGAGACATGGACAGTGGAGTCAGGGCCACCAGAAGAGGTAAGAGAGGGAAAGGATGGAAACAAATGTGGTCTCTTTTCACTTTTGCACATCCTGGTGATACAAATTCCAAACCCCTCTTGTAAGGATTATGGATGGAGAGAGAGGAAGTGAGAAGGCAGGGAGGACATTTGGATGAACTTTCTGGGTGCTACGGCCCAGAGGAATAACTGTTCTGCTACCTTGATGTGGAGGGCAGCCCATCTCCAATCAGGTCAGGAAGAGGCGCTCAAACAAGACGAATCTGATATGCAGACTTGTGGGCAAAATGGGTCCTTTTCTGGATGAGGCATCTGTAATCCCCCAACACCTGCTTCTAGGAAGGAAGAGAACCAGGGATTGGTGAGGGCAATGCCGAGGCTGACCTAGCTGAAGGGCAGGATTGGCCCCCAGCCTTCCCAATCCTCAGCATTCCTTGGTCCACTTCCTGGTGGATGGGGGACATGTTGGCATCATCAGCTGGCAGGACAGGATTTACTTCCTGCTCTTGTTTTTAAATTTTGTAAAAATGTTTTTATTAGGTAATACATTTATATACTGCAAAACTGACCAGGTACAAAAAAGGGTCCAGCCTGAGATGTAAATCTACCCTGTCCCTCTTAACCTGTCTCCCTCCCAAGACACAGTCTTCCTTATCAGTTTCTTGAATAGCCTTCCGGAGATTTAAGTATATATATTTTTGTTTGTTACACAATTAGTAGCATATTAAACATACTGTTCTATTCCTAGCTTTTCTCATTAAATAATCTTGAATATTCTTCTATATAAATGTCCATAGAGGGGTCTAGTATTTCTTGGTAAACAGGACCAGATATATGTAAGTAGCTCACTATTGACAAACATTTAAGTACACGTTAAGTTATGCCCAATTTTTCACTATCATAAATAATCCTGCATTGCTCATTACATAGATTTCAGATTATCTTTAAGAAAAAATTCCCAGAAGTGGAATGATGGGATCTAATTACTGGGTCAAAGATTATGGGCATTTTAAATTTTAATAGAGGTTGCCAGATCGCCACAGAGATTAAACAAATGTCATTCCTACTAATAGTATATGAGATTGTTTCTCCATACATTTTTCCATTAGAGACTTTCCCAGTTTTAGTACTGAACGTCCCATGTCCTCAAACCCCTAAGTCCTGAGGAAACTGGGATGGCTGACTGCCCTATATAGTGTGTGATCAATTTTTAAACCTATTTCTGAGCATATAAATCAAGATAGATTAAGTTATGCTGTAGTTTAAAAAGGAACACACAACATAATGGTTTATTTTAAAAAACTAAAGTTTATTTCTCATTCAGGCTCAGTCCGGAGACTCTGCAAGGAAGCTATACCTTCTTTTGAGGATCCTTTCAATATTATGGTTCTTTTATTTTGAAGCAAACCTCCCCGACATCTCTTTCACTTCATTTCTGGCCAAAGCAAGTCGCACAGTCATACCTCAAGACACTTCCTGTGTGCTTATAAGTAGAAAGCTGAATATTCATAAGTAGTGGTAACGCCTACTGCAATGAATATGATAGTCAAAAGAAAAAAAAGGTATCTTTGTAACTTTTTAATTACCAGTTCTATTTTTGAATATTGGCTGCTTTTTCTCTTGCAGAAAATGAAATTATAGATGCTATCTCAAGGCAAATGGAAAGTAACAGGAAAAATGTCATCGAAATTGTGAGACACTGTGAGTTACCGTTTGCCCTGCTTCTGACTGCCCCCAAACTAGAAGTCATTTGATTACTAGTAACTCCAACTTCCCCCCACCCTCCGCTCATTCATTTGCTGGGCTGGATGGCTGGAAGCAGCTGATCCATTTTGGAATGTGTTCCCGGCTAGCGCAGCCTTCTGGCCATCGAGTAGCATTTAAAGGGAGCTTCTGGACCAACAAGGTATCTTCTAGCACTGGTTCAAGTGCTGAAAAGCTCCTCTAGAGAGCATTAAAGCTTCAATTCATCTGTTGAATTTCCAAGAAGAAATTCAAATTGAATACAAAATGCTCATTCATCTACCCAACAAAACTGTGAGATGTGCTTTATGCCAGAGCCTGTACAGAGTTACTGAGCTTGACCTGGGTGTCTGACTAATGGGACTGGAATGACTAGACAAGATCTAAATACTCATGTGTGGCAGGAGGCATAGGAAAAACTCTAATATGAAAAAGATGGGTCCAGATGGGGGTTCAGACGGGAGAGACAGGCAGGATTGGAAGAGAAAGGAAGGAAGTGCGTGACACATTTCTGTTAACCATCCAACTGTGTCGCTACTGGTCACTCAGAGGCACCAGAACCCGCCTCTGTACCTCCCCTGGGATGTCAGTCAGAAGCTCCAGCCAGGGCCAGCTTTGGTTCATGGGGTAGGAGTTCCCACTCACATGTTACTAAGATGCCTCATTCCTTAGAACAGCTTCCTCAGTTCACTGACTATTTCCTTCCTTCCTGGGGCCGAGGTCAGACTTAGCGAAATCTTCCATGAAGGAGATCCCACAAGATCAAATCAAAGAGATCAATAAGGAGCAGCTTTCAGGATGCAAATGGATCCTGCTAAGGGAAACAGAATTCAGCACACTTTATAAAGGAGAATACCACAAATCTCCAGTGGCCATAAAAGTATTCAATAAACCCCAGGCCAGAAACATTGGGTGAGTCATTGTGTACAGTTCTCTCGTGTATCACTTCACTTCCTCTCTTTAACTCCTCAAGGAGAGAGGCTTGTTGTCTCCATTTTTACGTGGGGGAACCGGGGCCTCAAAGGATTAAATGACTTGCCCTCTACTATTAGGGAGCAGAGAATAGATGTAAATGTATGTCTTCCAACCACAATTCTAGAAGTGTCTCCCTACTATTGATGTATTTAGATGTTTTTAAAAATTTATTCCTTTTTATTCCTGTTTCTCAGTTTCCCATCCCCTCCACAGACCACAGTGTGTTTTGTTTATAGATGTTCTTGCAAAATGTACATTACTATACATGCATGCATTTTTAATTTTCACAAATATAATTAGTGTTATATGTCTGTTGTCTACTTTTCTTAACTTTTTCACTCAGCATCATGAAATTTGTAGTCCTTTCCTTCTGACTGCTGTGTTACAAATCCTTATTTTAACCTATTTTTCCAGTGATGGAACCTAATCTGTTTCCAACTTGCCCCCACCAAAAATAATGTTGCTGTAAGTATCCCTTTATAGACTGTATGAGAATTTCTTGGGCTATATTGCCAGGAGAGGAATGGATGAATCATAGGATATGCAGCCATGAAATGGACTAAATACTACAAGATAACTCTTCAGAATGGGCTGTACATTCCTACACTCCCACGAGCAATGCTTGAGAGCTCTCTAGTCATACATCTCCCCAGCCCTCAGTATTATCCAGCTTTTTAATGTGTTTCATCCTTCTGGTTATACAGTAATATCTTATATAGTTATTTTAATTTGCATCTCTTCACTAATACATTTGCATATTTGCTCATAAGACTTTTAGCTATTTGCATTTCCACTTGTATAATTTGCCTGTTCCTGTCCTCTGCCCTTTTTTCTGTCATAGTTGCTGTTTTTTGCCTTGTCAGTTTGTAGAAGACCTTTGTATATTGTGCAAACTAATCACTTATCAGCCTTAGCTATTGCAAAGGTCTTCTCTCCTCACATTATCAGTATTTGAACTTTGTCCATGGTGTCCATCATCAAACAGACGTCTTAAATTTTGAGGTAATCAGGCCCACCGAAAGTTTACCTTATTATTTGTGCTCTTGAGGTGCCCTTCATCACTCCTAGATAGCAAAACTAGTCTAGATTTTCTTCTATTAACTTTACAGTTTTATCTTTCACACTTTGGCTTTAATCCTCCTGGTATCCACTTTTATATGTGATATTATGTAGGGCCTAGTTTTATTTTTATCCACGCAGTGAGTCTGTTTTCTCTATACCATCTATTAAATATCCTTCCCCAGTGATGTGTGGTGCCATGTTTATTGTCTGTGAAGTTTCTGTTTAGACATGGACCTAGCTCTGATCTCCTAATCTGTTCCACAATTTGTCTTTGCACAAATAACACACTTTTGTTGTTTTGTTTTTTATTGCGACTTAGTAGTAATTCTCAATATCTAATAAGCCATCTCCCCATCTTGACTCTTCTTTCTCAGGTTGACTTAGCTAAATAAATATCAGAGAAAGCTTTACCACATACTTCAGAATATCACACACCTCAAAAATGTAGATTTTGATCAGGATTGTATTTCTTAACAGCTTTATTGAGACACCATTTACATACCAAAAGATTCACCCATTTGAAGTGTACAATTTAATGGCTTTTAATGTATTTACAGAGTAGTGTAACCATTACTGTAATGTTCATCCCAAAAAGAAACCCTATGCCCATTAACAGTTACTCCCCATCGCTCCCCACCGTCACCAGCCCTAGACAGCTACTAATGTATTTTCCATCTCTATAGGTGTGCCCATTCTAGACATCTCATATAAGTCGCATCATGTAATAGGTGGCCTTTCATGTCTGGCTTCTTTCACTTAGCATGACATTTTCAAGGTAAATCTGTGATCTGTGTGTGGCATGCATTATACATGCTAATTCCAGTACCAAATACATCGGACGGGGTCCACATGCCGCCATGAATGGCCAAGCTCCTCACAGCACCAGTTCTCACCCCAGAAGATGCTTACAATCTCTCATGCCCCTACCCGTACACGGCTGGTACAGGGGTTCTCTGAGGCACCTTCCAGTCCTGAAATCCTAATTTCTCCTTTTATTTTCATAGAATAGTGAGGCATACTTTCAGTAATGAGATCAAAGCCATGAAGAAATTTGATTCTCCCAACATCCTGCGTATATTTGGAATTTGCATTGATGAAACAGGTAAGGGGTTCTCCTGGGGCTGGTCGTGCTTTTGGCAGTCTGTCATGCATCTTCTGCGTTATAAGGCATTGCCTTTTTAAAGAACAGCTGAAAGGGGGGACCTACAGTATTATTATCAGTGCTAATTTTTTCACACCCTAAGATGTAGAGGCCCATCTCCTGTCAGAAGAGGAGTGTTGAATTTGGCTTCAACCCAAGGACTGGTTTGTGCTAATGTGACCAGGTCTCCTCTTGCAAGTCCACTGGGAACCAGGGGGGTGCTTGTCCAGATGCTGACCTGGGTGATGGGTGTATTTTGTTGCTATAAAACGTTATAGAGCTGGCTGCCTCAAACAAGGAACCTACCCTTGATCATCATTAGTGTAGATCAAACCTAAAAACAACTAGCCTGCCCCTTTACCAAAAACCTCATGCATCAGGTTCTTTTTAATTTTTAATTTTTAATGTGGCTGTGTTTTCTCTTATGGCACAGCCCCTCTTGCAGGTTGTGTTGGCTGCTCTTGCCTACAGAGAGGACAGAGCAACTCCTATCTTACTCCCTCTGGAAATTTCTCCACAGCCTCAGGGGACCTGATTTCAGAGCATAGAATCCCAGCCTGAATGATAACTTCCATTGATGTTTATTTTCCTGGGGAGTAGCCCAAGCCACTGATTCACTTTTTGTCACTTTGCATGTTGGACCTTGCATCTCAAGCCCGTGACCTGAGATCTCAACCCCTGGCCTGAGTTCCTCTCAGCAGCCCTGCAGCCCGTGCATCATTCATTCCCTCTGCACACATGTACTGAGCTCCTTGTGAGCACTGTAGGAACAAGACAGACCCTGTCCTCCTAGGGCTTACAGTTGAGTGGGGGAGACTGCACTGAAATAACAAAGAGAAAGCTAGAATTATGACATGGCACATGCCACCAGGAAGAGGTGTGGGAACTCTGTGGACACTGGAACCATTTAAGTAGGTCAGGGGACAAACTGTGTGAGATGGGGGTGGCGAGTTGGGGGAGAAAGACAGCAGAGCTGAGTCTGTCTCTGTAGGCAGGTGGGCTGCAGAAAGTGGGAACTCTGAGGGTGCTGGACCGTCACACCATTTGGCTTCTTTCCATCAGTAAGACCCCCTCAATTCTCCATTGTCATGGAATACTGTGAGCTCGGGACCCTGAGAGAACTGCTGGACAAGGAGAAGGACCTCATATTTGCAAAGCGTATCGTCCTGGCCCTGGGGGCAGCCATGGGCTTATACAGGTACCAGATGGGGTGAAAACGGCACCGAGAAGAGCAGAATGTGTCTGTCTCCCCTTTGATAATCACAGAGGTGATGAGAGAGAAGGCCAGAAGCCCTAGCTGGCCCTCACCCTGCATGATCTACTGCTTATTCTAATTACAACCCCTTAGACCAGAGGAGGGAAAGGGTCTCAGCCCAGTGAGCACCAGCTCACAGGTTTGAGGGTAAAATTAAATGGCCAGGCTGCTTTTGGGGAACTGGACAGCTCTTATTCATAAGGTTGCCAGAATTAGCAAATAAGAATACAAGATGCCCTGTTAAATTTGAATTTCAGCTAAGCAATGAATAATTTTTTAGTAGAGGTATATCCCAAATATTACATGAGACATACTTTTACTAAGATTGCAGATATATGGGATTTCAGATAAATAATAATTTTTTAGTAGAAGTATGTCCCATGCAATTTTATATGTTCCATGCATCAATGAAATGAAAAGGCAACCTACTGAATGGGAGAAGATATCTGCAAATGATATATCCAATAAGGGCTTAATGTCCAAAATAATCCAATTAAAAAACAGACAGAAGATTTGAATAGACATTTTTCCAAAGACATAACAGGTGGCCAACAGGCACATGAAAAGATGCTCAAATTCACTAATCATCATGGAAATGCAAATCAAAACCACCATGAGATATCACTTCACACCATTCAGAGTGGCTAGCATTAAAAAGACAAGGCATAACAAGTGTTGGCGAGGATGTGGGAAAAAGGGAACCCCTTACCTAGAATTATCATGTATATAAATGTTGAATCACTGTGTTGTACACCTGAAACTAATGTAATACTGTGTGGTGTCAACTACCCTTCAATAAAAAATAATTATCTAAGAAAAAAAAAAAGGGGGGAACCCTTATGCACTGTTGGTAAACTGGTGCAGCCACTACAGAAAGCTGTATGGGAATTCCTCAAATAATTAAAAATAGAACTCCCATACAACCCATAGTTCCACTTCTGGGTATTTACTGGAAGAAAACCAAAAAAAAAACACTAATTCAAAAAGACATATGAACCCTATGTTTATTGTGGCATTATTTACAATAGCCAAGATATGGAAGCAACCTAAGTGTCCAGCAATAGATGAATACCAAAGAAGATGTGGTACACATATTTGATGGAATATTACTCAGCCATAAAAAAGAATGGAAATCTTGCCATTTGCAACAACATGGATGGACCTGGAGGGTATTATGCTAAGTGAAATAAGTCAGAGAAAGACAAATACCTTATGATTTCACTTAGATGTAGAATCTAAAAGAATAAAACAAATGAACAAACAGTGTAGAATTAGACTCATAAATCCAGAGAACTGGCAGTTACCATAGGGGAGGGAGGTGGGGAGATGGGTGGAGTAGATGAAAGGGATTAAGAAATATGAATTCCCCATTATAAAATAAGTAAGTCACAGAGGGAAAAATGTAATTCTGGGATATACTTATACTGAAAAAAAAATCATTGCTTATCCAAAATTCAGTATCAACTGGGTGTCCTGTATGTTATCTGGCAACTCTCCCTACTCTCACATCCATAGTCTGTAGTTCCTTTAGCCCAAGACTCCCCAAAGATCTGTCACTCACAGACCACTTACATGGTTTACTCATAGCCACAATACTGCCAGTATTATTTACTTAACATTTTTCTTTAAATTAGCTTACTTTTTAAAAACTTAAATAAAGTAAAAGAAAAGGACACTTAGTATTACTACCATGAACTGGAAACCAGAATCGCTTGCCATATGACACTGAAACAATGTTAGGACATTCTGGCTGGATGATGCTGCCTGCCAAAAGGTCAGTAATTCAAATCCACATTCTCTTTGTACAGAGGAGATATTAGCAGTTTTAGAGAAGTAAGAAGTGTTAAAGATATGTGACGCCAAACTGAGACTTTCTCTTCGATATAACCAGAAAGACTGGAATACACTGATAGGATAATAATTTTCTCAGTACATCATCTCGCATAGCACGTATTCCATACTTTGGGAAATACTGCTGTAGCTGATTATTTGAAATCATACAGTCTGTTTCTTCTTCACTCTATACTAGTGGGTTTTATGAGAATCTAATAATTAGTTTTGGACCACAGGGGACACTATTAGTGCCCCATCCAGATGGCCTCTTTACCAGCTGTGCATATGCATCCCCCACTTGGCATACTTTGCTGCCACAGCTCACAGGTGCCATCTACAGAGGAATATCCATGGATATTGAAGCATCTTTGCCCCTAGAGACAGCTGTAAGTTCCCAGAAGTTTTATATCCACCTGCCCCTGTCCCAGTACCTCTTGCTCCCAGTCTGTAGCCATTGCACAACGGGTGTGAGCTCCAATTCCTTTGCTTCATGCAGAACAAACTGTGAGAGTTAATTTTCCTCCAAAGGTGTGATGAGATCAGGCTGAGGCTGGAATTTCACCTGAAATCACATCCTAACTTTATTTCTTCTCTATCCTGATTCCTCTGCTCCCTTACCAATTTCTCCTGAAAATACCTACTTAAAAATAAATCACTGGTACCAAATCCTTGGTAACAGCCCAAACTGAAATGCAGAGGATCCATTAAATCCAAAGCACTTCCCCCTTACTAAGTTGGTGGAAACCCCAGCTTCACATTCTGTTTCATCCCAAGAGTCCTATCTTGGTCCCACCATCTAGCCATGCCTCTGAACACTTTGATCTGTCTGGCATCTCCCAGGCAGAGGACCACATCTTTCTCTGCCTAAAGTGACCTCTAGTTCCAGATTGCACATGCTCCGCAAGGGCTGTCACATCCACTGGTCCATCCAATGGATACTTCCAGTTGCATCTTACTGCTGCTCTATACTCACAGCACACAACTGTCAGATCTTCCCACTGCACTCTGGTTCCCCTGTCCATCCGTGACTAGCTACCCATGAGGAGGGCCGACCAGCTTCTTTATCCTGGTAATGACTGTCAAGCGCCCCAAGAAAGTCTGTGCAAAAGTCACTGATGCCACTGCCTTTGGTTGTGTTAGGCTGCACCATTCGGAAGTGCCCGCACAGCTCCACAGAAACATCAACAGCATGAGCTTCCTGGTTGCAGGAGGCTACAAAGTGAAGGTGAGTGCAGCCTTCCAGGGACTCTGTGAGTTCAAGCTGTGTGACCGACGTTGGGAGAGGGACCCATGTTTCCCAGAAAGGCTGGGCTTGCTTGTTTCTCTGCCTTAACCTTAGAACTGAGCTCGGCCCACCCCTGCCCAGACAGCTTTTCATGTGCCCACCGGAAGACAGCTTCAGTTCTTCCTGCTGTTCTGATGTCTGTCATCCCTCACCGCCCACTCAGCAGGGATGGACTATGTGTCAGTTCCCCTTAGGTGCCCGAACACCACTGCTATGTCCAGGGAATCTTCATAGATTCAACTAGGCATTCAGACTTACAGGGCTGCCAGATACCACACTTGGCATTCAGAGTCACTTAGAAGGGCATCTTGCAAGAGACACAGTATGCCAACAGGGCAGCATCAAATCCTTCTCTCCAGCGGGGGTCCCCACTGTTACCCAGAAGAGACTCTCTTTGTCCTCACCCAAGATGCTAGAAAAAGAGGCTCCCCTATGGCCGGTGTGGTGCCATCCAGACTTAGAAGTCTCATGACCACAGGGGTTAATATTCTCTGATGACAGATCCACAGGCATACCTTCAGGTGACCCCACAAGGGGCAGGCAAGGTGCAAAAGAGTTACTGCAAAGCCCAGCAGCACGATCAGCTGTTTATAGTCCCCTTCACCACCACCCCCAAACCATAAGCAATTTACCAATCAGCAGTCATTGTTTTTTTATTAGGGTATCATTGATATACAATCTTATAAAGGTTTCACAGGAGCAACATTGTGGTTATTACTTTCACCCATATTGCAAGTACCCCCATACACACCCCATTGCAGTCACTGTCCATCAGCATAGTAAGATGCTATAGAGTCACTCTACTTGTCTTCTCTACTATACTGCCTTCCCTGTGACCCCCCCCTACATTATGTGTGCTAATCATAAAGCAGTCATTTTTTTTTTATTAAAGTATCATTGATGTGCAGTCTTATGATGGTTTCACATAAACAACACAGTGGTTTCAACATTCACCCGTATTATCAAGTCCTCACCCCCTCCATTGCGGTCACTGTCTATCGACATGGTAAGATGTTATAGTCATTAATTGTCTTCTCTGTAATCAGCAGCCATTTTTTATCATCAATAATATTACTTAGAATCGGTGACAGTCTTTACCAGATTATGAGGTGAATGAAGTTAAAAAGAGAACCAAAAGTCAAATTCTTATACAGAAGAGGGAAGCATTTTATTAACTTTTTGTCCATAATTCCCAAATGCTAAAAGAATGTATTCTTTGTCATCCATAGATGGCTTTCTTTCTTCCAGCCTTACGAGTTTCAGGGACAGCCCTCATATAACAGAAGACGGGCATTTTCTGCCTTTCAGATCCCTTTCTCCATTACTGGTGTGATACAAGTGCTCCCAAAGCACCATATATAGGCCACTTTTGTGTTCTGCATCCCACCTGCCTGTAACATGTGCTATTCAGCCTTTCATCCCTGCTTTGTAGTCCACTGCCAGATGTCAGAGGATGTCAGTGCTCAATAAGCATGTGAGTGAAAGGGAATGAGACATCTAAGTGTTTAATCCTTTTCCTGACCTTGCCCCTAGATTTGGATCTGACTTAGTTTGGGGCAGCCCTTTGTACACTGATGGTACTAATGCCAGGGATGCATGGAGCAAGATCATACACTCCCATTAGTTGTGCTATGGGTTCTTAAAGAGCATGACATGGGCCATGCTGGGTCAATGCAGTAACTCACTGTTGTCATGTAAAATTCAAAGGAACAGGCTGGCTACCCTATAGGGTCAGATAGAACGGAAGGGATACCCTCATGTCATTTTTTTCATCTGCTCCTGAAAGAAAGCAAGCTATATGGTGGCTCCATGCCCTGCTAACCACATTCACTTAGTAGCATTGAGTTCTCAATTGAGAAAGTCCTGTATCTACCATAGTAATACTAGAACAATGACAACTTACCAAGTCTTACTGGTGCTTTATAACTATTATAGCAAATAATCTTCATTGTCCCATTTTATAGAGCAGAAAGCCCTTGGAGTTTCTCTTGGGCAATACACTACAATAGTTTGAATCCATAATGCGGCCAGTAGAGTAGCTGCACAGACAGAAGACACTGCTAGACATACATCCCAAAGGTAAAAGACCATCCCCTGACAATCATGTGGAGCGCCAACCCCCTGCCCTAGACCCACCACCCACGACTGTGCTGTTTCTGTCTGTCTCTAAGTCGCCTCTCTGTCTAGCTTGCGGGATTTGAGCTGAGCAAAACGCAGACTTCCATCAGTCGACGAAGTAAAGGAAAAGAAGCAGAGGAAGTCAATTTGTCAGCGTATGTCTCACCTCAGATACTGGAAAATGTGTTTAATAAATATGACACAAAAGCTGAAATATACAGGTATGTTCATGTTCTTGTGCAGATGANCTCTGTCTAGCTTGCGGGATTTGAGCTGAGCAAAACGCAGACTTCCATCAGTCGACGAAGTAAAGGAAAAGAAGCAGAGGAAGTCAATTTGTCAGCGTATGTCTCACCTCAGATACTGGAAAATGTGTTTAATAAATATGACATAAAAGCTGAAATATACAGGTATGTTCATGTTCTTGTGCAGATGACTAATTCAGAGGAAAGGATAGGAAGGCCCATGTCAAACCCCACCTCTGAGGACTGTGGGAACTCAACTCTGTTGAGTGGAATTGGGTGGTAATTAGAAAATTCACCGAGTTTTCTGGAAATGGAGAGAGGGGTCTGGGAAGAGGAAAACATGTATGCTTGCTCAGTTTCTTGGCCTTCTTTCAGCTTTGGAATCGTCCTCTGGGAAATCGCTACCGGGAAGGTCCCGTTTGAAGGTAACCAGTGTGCAGGTTGGCTCACACGGTGTTGGGATTGGGTCTCCCTTCTAGCAGCCTGGAAACCCCCACCAGTGCTGTCCTGGGAGCTTTGCTCTCTGATGTGGGCCCTGCCCGGGCTGCTCAGTGGAGTCGTCGGAAGCTTTTGTTTCTTCACTACCCGAAGTCCCTAGTTCTGATGCCCAGTATCAGCATCCAGAGAGATGTGTGAGTGCCAGAGTAAATTTTTAAGCCTCCCATCCTATTGTTTACATTTCAGGCTGTAATTCTAAGAAGATCCACCAGCTGGTGGCTGTGAACCACTACCAAGAGCCTCTGGGTGAAGACTGCCCTCTCGAGCTGCAGGAGATCATTGTTGATTGCCGGGCGTATGAGCCCTCCCGGAGGCCCTCTGTTAATGGTAGGGTTCTTTCTGGTATAAAGAGCATGAGCCACACGTGCTATTTCACGTTTGTGAAAGATTTCCTTTGTGGCTCACAACCGGGGGAGGGGGAGGGGTTTGCCTCTCAGGTGACATTTGACAATGTCTAAAGACATTTTTAGTGGTCACAACTCAGGGAAGGTAGGGTAGGGTGGGGTATGTTGCTTGTATCTAGAAGATAGATGCTACTCAACATCCTGCATGCACAGGACAGCCCCCTACAGCCAAGAATTACCCAGCCCAAATACCCAGCCCCAGTAGTACAGGAGTGCACTGGGCCCATCCTAAGGACACCGTTCAGGCTAAGGTGTGTTGGGAAGGCAGATTACTCCTGCCTGTATTCTTTCTCTCCCTCTTCCCTCCTTGCCTCCTTCCCTCTCTCTCTCCTTCTTTCTCTTTCTCTTTTTGTCTTGCTTCCCTTCCTACCTCCTTTCCTTTCTTCCTTTCCTTTTTAGTGTCCTTGGGATAATTTCCCCTACTCAGTCTTCTGTCTCACCATGTTATCAGCCGCTTCTCTCCAGTTTCCTTATATCACCTCCCTGGGAATGTCTCCCTCTCCCACTCTAGATTCAAATCTCCCAGTCTTTCCAAAAAGTGCGGAACACAAGTTTCACACTCAGCACCCCTGGACTGGGGAAGTGTTTCCACTGAAGTCACTACAGACTTCAAAGACACAAAATCATTTTTTTCTCTGCTTTATTGTGAAATGTATCATACTAGAGCAGTGTATGAAATTTATATGTGCCGTTTTTTAAAAATCCAAGTGAAAGAACATCACAGATCCACTCATGGTTAAGGAATAGAACACTGCCACTAAGTCAGAAACCACCTGTGAGTCCCTAGCTTTTCACCTTCCTTTCCCTTCAAAGGTAACCCCTCTCCTAATTTTTGTGAAAATGTATTTATGGTTTTACAACCTAGGTACACTCCATTATTTGGTTTCTCATATGTGACGACATTTTTTTTTTGGTATCATTAATCTACAATTACATGAGGAACATTATGTTTACTAGGCTCCCCCCTTCACCAAGTCCCCCCAACAATCCCCATTACAGTCTCTGTCCATCAGCGTAGTAAGATGCTGTAGAATCACTACTTGTCTTCTCTGTGTTGTACAGCCCTCCCCATTCCTCCCCCCAACATTATACATGCTAATCGTAAGTCCCCCTTTCTTATTCCCCCGCCCTTCTCCCTTCCTTCCCACCCATCCTGCCCAGTCCCTTTCCCTTTGGTAACTGTTAGTCTTCTCTTGGGTTCTGTGATTCTGCTACTGTTTTGTTCCTTCAGTTTTTCCTTTGTTCTTATACTCCACATATGAGGGAAATCATTTGGTACTTGTCTTTCTCTGCCTGGCTTATTTCACTGAGCATAATACCCTCTAGCTCCATCCATGTTGTTGCAAATGGTAGGATTTGTTTTCTTCTTATGGCTGAATATATGAGAACATTTTATAAATGATATCATTTTACATTCTGCCATAACTTGCTTCATTTACTCAACATTAATGATTTAAAATTCATCCATACTAGTGTGGTGGTTTCCATTCTTTGACTCTCACTGCTGTATAGCAGACCATTAGGTAACCAAGGTTACCATGGTTACCCATTCCACTGTGGATGGACGTTTTAGTTGTTCCAGTACTTTATTCTTAGGAACCATGCCCTTTAAACTCCTTGTGCATATATCCTGGAGTACACATGGGAGAATATCTCATGTCATAGACCTGGGAGTGGAGCACACTAATTATGGAAGATGAAATGCCTTGAGAAAGGAATGAAAGAGATGGGTGTCCAGCCTTTTGAGACAGTTCCCCAAGGGCATCGTCACTATTTCCAGAAGTCTCTGGCACGAGGACTGTTCTTCAAGGCCTTCTCATAGGTGGTCCATTGGGAATCACTCCAACAGACATCTTAGAGATTATCTCATCCCTCATCCTTCTCCTCCCTTCATTCCCATCCCTACTTTGGGGAGTGAAAAAGAAGAATTGCAGCCTAGCTTCCATCTGAAACTTTCTCTTTGCCGCCATAGAGCAGCAGCACGGACTCAGCAGGGCTTCCTGGAGCATTAGCCTTGAGGGCAGACGGGAAGCGGACGGGGCTTTCCATAGTACCTTCCTCTGCTCACACTCTCCTTTGTCTTCTCCCTCCTTCTTCCAGGCTCTCTTATAACCCAGGGTCCTCCTGGTATTAGAGAGTCTAGTACCTGAGATTAATTCACACTGAGATGTGAGTTTATCCCTCCCACAAACAAGATGTATTTTAAAAGTGGACCAACTAAGAGGGAACTTCATATCCCAAAGTCGTGATTGCAGGTGGTGCTTTGGGCTCCAGCCAGACCAAGGAGAATGTAGTTCCTACAGTCATGCAGGGTAGCAATGTCTTTGTGTTTCTAGTTTGGCTCTTGGTTTCCTGCTCTTATCTGACTTTCTACTCATTTATTCACAGACATCTTAGAGAAGCTGTCTGCCTTTCATTAAGCTGTGTGTTGAAACCGAAACTAAGGAGTCCCTTGACAAGAAACTGGAAAAGGCACAAGTGGGCTTCTTTCTCTCTCACATCCTTTGGCATGGAGTCATGTATGAGTGCCAGGAGGCAGCACTTCTCTGTTACAAACAGAAAACAATTCCAGTCATCCCACTCCAAATGATATTGTCAAAAATACACCTTTAATATTGACTGTGATAGATGTTCTGTGAAAACGTCTCTCTCTGTATCCACACCTCTTGGCAATGTGACTTTTCAGCTCCTTCCATCAAGAAGTGGAGTCTACTTTTCTGCTGTTTGAATCTGGGCTGGCATTGTGATTTGCTTTGGCCAATGGAATTGTAGAAGTGACAATGTGCTGGTTCCAAGCCCAGGCTTCAAGAGGACTTACAAACTTCCACTCCCTCTCTTGGCACCCTATCCAGCCATGAGCAAGCTAGTGTGGCGGAGGATGAGAGACCACATGGAGCAGAGACAACCTGTCCCAGCTGAGGCCATACTACACCAGCCAGCCCAGCAGCTGTCACATGAGTGAGTCCAGTCAAGACCAGAAGAAGCACACAGCTGTGCCAGTCCAAACTGCCCATTCATAAAATCATGACCTAACAAATTTTGTTGTCTTAAGCCACTACGTTTTGGGGTGATTTGTTACACAACAGTAATAACAGAGCAAACACTATTCAATCCTTTCTGTTTCCCATTGAACTAAGTACAAATTACCCCATTTGGATATCCCTGGCCTTATATCTCTCACCCAACTTCTTGTATGATGTCCCAGAGTTCTTCTACCAGACACTGCAAACTCTATTGCCTATAAGATCTAGGAGGGAACCTAAATGAGTGAGTTGGGCCTGGAGGGGACATCTGCTCACAAATGAGCTTTGTGAAGGACAGCCTCCACTCAGCTCCAGCCTATTTTTATCATACAGGAAACAGATCCCAATGTTTCCAGAGGTTTCCATTTTGTCAACAAAAAGCTGGAAATTCACATTTTTTCTGTAAACTGTCCACATTTTTAAAGGTTGGTATCTCATTAAAAATTACTTTAGAAGCAACTTAAGTGTCCTTCAGTAGATGAATGGATAAAGAAGATGTGGTACATATATACAATGGAATATTATTCAGCCATAAGAAGAAAACAAATCCTACCATTCGCAACAACATGGATGGAGCTAGAGGGTATTATGCTCAGTGAGATAAGCCAGGCAGAGAAAGACAAGTACCAAATGATTTCACTCATCTATGGAGCATAAGAACAAAGCAAAAACTGAAGGAACACAACAGCAGCAGACTCACAGAACCCAAGAATGGACTAACAGTTACCAAAGGGAAAGGGTCTGGGGAGAGTGGGTGGAAAGGGAGGGAGAAGGGGATTAAGGGGCATTATGATTAGCACATGTAATGTAGGGGGGCGGCACAGGGAAGGCAGCACAGCACAGAGAAGACAAATAGTTACTCTATAGCATCTCACTATGCTGATGGACAGTGACTGTAATGGGGTATGTGGTGGGGACTTGATAATGGGGGGAATCTAGTAACCACAATGTTGCTCATGTAATTGTACATTAATGATACCATAATAATAATAAAGCAAATGAACCAATCCAAAAAAGAAAAAAGTGGGTCATGCTGACAGTGGCAGAGCAGGCTAGTACAAATGTCAAATTCACCACAGAAGTCTTTAATTCTCTGTTTAGTCTGAATAGACCCAGAAAGATATTGTTATAGCTGGTTCAGAATGTGATTGGTGAGTCTGTTTGAAATTCTGTATTTTCCATCACAGAGCGCTGGATGTGATAAATGGGCTGGAGTCTGATGGTTATTAACCAATTTCAAGGACAGCTACAATATCCTTCAGGCTGAATTAGGGTGAAGTACCAAGAACCTGCTACATACTCATAGGCTCTGTGAAAGCTGTACATATCCAAGGGTAGTTTTTTCCAAATACAAAGATTATTTCCTTCTTTTTCTACCCCACCCTCAACTCTCCTCCCATGATTGTGACAATGGTGTCCGTCAAATTGCTCATCAGATTTTGGCTAAATAGCACCCTTTGGCATTTTAAATAAAGACCTGGTGGTTGTCATGTGGCAGAGGGTGGAGGGTGGGCCAAGTGGGTGAAGGGGATAAAGAGGTGCAGGTTTCCAATTATAAAACAAGTTAGTCTTACTATACTGATGGGCAGTGACTGCAATGGGGTAATGGGGGGGACATGATAATATGGGTGAAGGTAGTAACATTGTTTTTTCATGTGAAACCTTCATAAGAGTGTGTATCAATAATACCTTAATAAAAAAATAAAATAAAACTAGTCATGGGGATAAAAGTACATCATAGGGAACATAGTCAATAATATTGCAATCTTTGTATAATGGCAGGTGGTAATTATTGTGGTGAGCATTTAGTAATGTACATAACTGTCAAATCACTATGTTGTGCACTTGAAACCAAGATAATATTGTATATCAACCATACTTAAATAAAAAAATAAATAAAATTACGTTAATAATATATAGAAGAAACAAAATATGTTAGCCTAGTAGCCTCCAGATTTTAAGCTCTATGATATGCAAACCCATCTCCTGCATGTGGCCCATTTGTTCTGAATTTTTCCACCTTTGCACATGTTGTATGCTTTACCTAGGATACACCAACACCTACTTGTACATGTTGCTTTTTTCCCTCCACAACTCATCCCAAATCACTCAAATGCGTTCGGCTTTCTTCTAATCACTAAAGATATAACAATAAACAAAATATATTAGGAATTTATATTCTAGTAATCATCTCTGTGGAATAAAATTATAGCTGATTTCTATTCTTTTTTATTTTTTACTTATTCTCAATTTCTTTTTTTAAGCCTAAAATATGTTTTTCTTTTATAAATTGTAAAAGAATAAGCATGGACAGGTAGAACACTTAAAATTATTATTTTCTAAAACTTATCATCAGGTACTACTGTTTTCATCTTTAAAATTCTTTGCTGTCTTTCCTGTAGTAGTTACAGTGAAAATTGTCCCTTATAGAGAATAAGGATTCTCTACAGTGAGGAGAATATAGGTAATAGATTAATTCATGCTCTGGCAGACCCATAGGCAGAGGTGGATTTACTGTGAAATTAATAAAGCTTAATGTTTAGGACCCCTGACTTGCCCAAATTTTTTTTACCAACATTTATTTATTTGTTTGTTTGTTTGTTTATTTTTGCATTCTTTTTTTTTTGAGAGGGCATCTCTCATATTGATTGATCAAATGGTTGTTAACAATAAAATTCTGTATAGGGGAGTCAATGCTCAATGCACAATCATTAATCCACAACAGTCTCCAATCTTCTGAAGCATCACGAACAAGTTCTTACATGGTGAACAAATTCTTACATAGTGAATAAGTTCTTACATGGTGAACAGAGCAAGGGCAGTCATCACAGAAACTTTTGGTTTTGATCATGCATTATGAACTATAAACAATCAGGTCAAATATGAATATTCAGTTGATTTTTATACTTGATTTATATGTGGATCCCACATTTCTCCCTTTATTATTATTATTATTATTATTTTTAATAAAATGCTGAAGTGGTAGATGCAAGATAAAGGTAGAAAACATAGTTTAGTGTTGTAAGAGAGCAAATGTAGATGATCAGGTGTGTGCCTGTAGACTATGTGTTAATCCAAGCTAGACAAGGGCAATAAAACATCCACGGATGCAGAACATTTCTCTCAAAACGGGGGGGTGAGGTTCTAAGCCTCACTTCTGTTGATCCCCAATTTCTCACCTGATGGCCCCCCTGCGACTGTGCCTGTCTTAGGTTGTTCCTCCCTTGAGGAATCTTACCTGTCTCTGGCTAACCAGTCATCTTCCGGGGCCATACAGGGAAATGTAAAGTACCAACATTTATTTTTGAAGGTTTTCAAATACACAGAAAAGCCAATAAAATTATACTTAATACCTATATACACAACACCTAAATTCTACAACTAATGACTTAGTATATTTATTTTAGCCCATACTTATCCATTATCCATGCTTCCTTCTATCCTTTATTCAGTCCTTATTTTTGATGCACTTCAAAGAAAATTTCAGGCATGAGCACACTTCACTCTGAAGCACTTCAGCATTTATACCATTAATTGGAATTCAATATTTGTTTATGGATTTGGGGGGGCAAGTAAATTTTCTATGTTGTGAAATACAAAAATCTTAAATATGCCATTTGATGAGTTTTGACAAATGCACACACGTGAGTAATCCAAACCCCATCAAGATAATGAACATTATCATCAGGCTAGAAAGTTCCATTCTGCCTATACAACTGATCCCTCTCATCACTCCTATCCCACAATTCTGATTAGAAATTTTTTTTATTGGGGTATCATTGATATACAATCATATTGTTTTCAAATATACAACACAGTGGCTCAACTAACTTACCCATAGTATTAAATCCTCACCCCCACTAGTGTGGTTACTGTCAAAATAGGAAGATGTTACAGAATCACTGACTATATTCTCTACTCTGCATTACCAAACCCGTGACCACCGTACATTATGATTGAGAATTTCTGTGCCCCATCTATCACCCTTACTTTCCCCACTCACCCACCCCAACCCCTCCCCCACAACTCCTCCCTGATGGTAGCCACTAGTCATGTCTCAGTGTCTATGAGTGTACTGCTGTTTTGTTCATTCTGTTTTGCTTTGTATTTATATTTCACAAAAAAAGGAAAATCATATGGTATTTGTCTTTCTCTCCCTGGCTTATTTCACTGAGCATAATACCCTCTAGATCCATCCATGTTGTTGCAAGTGGCAGGATTTATTTTCTTTTTATGGCTGAGTAATATTCCATTGTGTACCACATCTTCATTATCCATTCATCTATTGATGGACACTTAGGTTGCTTCCATACTTTGGCTATTGTAAATAATGCGACAATAAACATAGGGGTACATATGTCTTTTTGAATTGGATTTTGTTTTCTTTGAGTAAATTCCTAGAAGTGGAATTACTGAGTTGAATGGTATTTGTATTTCAGTTTTTTGAAGAACCTCCTTCCTGCTTTCCACAGTGGTTGTACCTATTCACATCCCCACCAACAGTGTAGGAGGGTTGTTCCAGTTTCTCCACATTCTTGCCAACACTTGTTATTTCTTGTCTGATTTTTAACAGCATTTTGAGGTATAACTGCCACACAGAAAAGTATATATATTTAAAGTAGGCAGTTTGATAAGTTTTGACATATGTATACACCACCACAATCAAGATAATGAACATGTCCATCAACTCCCAAAGTTTCCTCATGCTCCCTTAAAATCACTCCCTTTCATTTCCCCTTTCCCTAGACAACCACTGATCTGCTTTCTTTCACTATAGATTCGTTTACATTTTAAAGTTTTATATAAATGAAAGCATATGGTATGTAAAAAGTTTGCTGTCTTTCACTCAATATAATTAGAGATTCATCCATGTAATTACATGTATCGATAATTCTTGCCTTTTTACTATTGAAAACTATTGCAATGTGTGGGTATAATATAATTTATTTATCCGTTCACCTGTTGATGAGCATTTGAGTTGTTTATAATCTTTGGCTATTACACATAAGGCTGCTACGAACTTTCATGTACAAGTTTTTGTTTGAACATATGCTTTCATTTCTCCTAGGTGAATACCTAGAAACAAATGTCTGTATCATATGGTAAGTGTACATTTAACTTTTCAAGACAAACTGTTTTCCAAAGTAGTTGTGTCATTTTCCATTCCACTAGCAGTATGTGAGAGTTCCAGTTCTTCTATATCCTTGCCAACATTTGGTATGGTCAGCTTTTTTAATTTTGACAATTCTAATAGGTATGTAAGGAGAGGTATCTCATTGAGCCTTTAATTTGCATTTTCCTAATGACTAATGGTGTTGAGAAGCCTTTCATTTAATTTACCATCTATATATTTTCCTTGTTGACTTGTCTGTTCAAATTTTTTTCCCATATTTTAAGTTGGGTTTTTTTGTTTACTAATTATTAAGTTCTGAGAGTTTTAAAAATATACTCTGAATATAAGTCCTTTATCAGATAAATGATTTTCAAATAATTTCTGCCGGTATGCAGTGTATCTTTTAATTTTCTTAACGTCTTTTGAAGGGCAGAATTGTTTCATGAATCATGTTCATTTGGATTACCCATGACTTTCAATTTTTATCCTCTTCTCTACCAGGTGCTCTGAAAATTCACAGCTGAGTAGTAAATGTGGCAATGTGCAGCTTGTCCCTGCCTGAGATTTAGATTTTCAGGTCTTCCTCCAAAAAGTGAAATTTAGGCTTTCAGCAAAACTCTTGAAAAATGTTTGTTGTTAAGCGAAGTGACAGTTATAGAAGCAGGCGATTTATTGCAATGGTTTGGGATTAAACAGATCGTGCAGGCAAGTTCTTTTTCATGAGCCTTTTAACCCCACGAAAGGATATATATGAAGGGGATTGTTCCACGCCTCTTCACACGTTCCGGAATTCTGGGGGCAAATATGTTGAACTTACTGATTAGCTACCAGCCTTGGATAAATACAGCTCTTAAACTAAAGAGTTAGGGAGAGGCAGAAGGAGCCAGAATTTTAATATTTTGTCTTGTTTTCAAAATGGACCGGGCGGTCTTTTTCTAATAACTTTCACCCGCCATCAAGTTCAAATAAACAGCGATAAAACTCTCCAGCATTCTTCCCCTCCCCGCTGGGCGCGAGGTGACGAACATAGATTTCTACCAATTGTAGGAGGCCCACACGTGCGTGGTTCCCGCCTAGTCAGTAAAGAACCAGCCAATGAGAGCGCCTCTGTTGCAACCAGCGGGGACCAAAGGAATAAGAAGAGAGGCTATTGGCTGTTGGATATGTATGCTGCTCAATAGGAGCAGGGCGCTCGCGCGGCTCGGGCGCGCAGCTTGAGCGACTGTTGGCGGTGGTGGCTGTGAGAGAGTTCCGATGAATCAGCCACAGTTGCGGCAGGCTGGCGAGCTGCAAGTAGTCTTTTCCACTGCAGGTATGGAGGCATTTACCTCTCCCCAGACATTAGACGTCTAGCTCCTGGATAACTTACAGGGCTGGGTCCCCGGATGTGGGGCCTAGGGACGCCTCGCGAAGTGTGGTGCGGACCGGCAGAGAATCCGGCGGCCTGAGGAGTTCCGGTCGCTCCGGGAGGCCCCAACCTTCGGCCGAGGCGCCCGAACCCTCACCCTTTCGGAGTCGTGGGGCGCGGGGAAATGAACTTCGTTGAGTCCTGGGAGGAGCCGAGTTCGCCGCGGGCGGGAGTCAGATAGACCCCAGGGAGCCGGGCCTCAAACTTTTCTTGTGCAAATAAGTGGTTTTAATCAACACTGTGACGTAAACACTTTTATTAGCCCATTTTACGGATGGACGAGTTGAACCGGTAGGCTAAGAAGCCCACCGAAGGTTGCACGGGGACCACGTAACAGCAGGGCTTTGAACTGAGGTGTGCTGGCCTCCCGGACACCACCCCTTGTTAGTTGAGGGGACGTTGATCGCGCTGAGAAAGCTTGTTGAGACCAGTGGGAGGTGACCTTTTAAGCGCCTGTTGCGACTGCACGCATAGAAAATACAGTTTGTGTAGCTTGCTGAAGTCCAGAACGAGGCTGTCCAAAGCTTGGGATGACCGGCCGCGACGGTCTTTTGCTCTAGGCTCCCCAGGTTAGCCCAAGGACTGGAGGGATCTGTGTTTTCCCACATTGGTTGGGAAGCTTTGCCCCAGAACAGCGCTGTGCCTTAGAACTTTGTGCCAGGATGAAAGTTTTTAGTTGATGGGTTTGTGGTTTTTTGGTTTGTTTGTTTGGTTGTTTTGTTTTTTAATGTATGGTGGATAATTCTTTAGGTATTTAGCATCTGCTACGTTTCATGATGCTGTGGAGGACAGTTGTGAATCAGACTTGGATTTGGCTTTGGCCTTCCTGCTCTACCAGAATTTGTTGCTCTGATCAGAACTGGCATATGATGATGGGAAGGAATTTCATTTTTTAATATTTAACCATACTGGAAAGTACAAAACAAACAAAAAGACCTGTGCACTCACCACCACCCAGACCAAACAAGTCTTGACATCGACCTTTTGATACAACTGCTTCTATTTTTTTTTTAAGAAAAAATTTTAAATAATATACAGCTGAAACCCTGTGTGTACCCTTGCACCTTCCCTCTCCAGAATTTGGTGTTTTTCATGCACACTTGTTTTATGCTATTATCGTGTATTTTAAATCCAGGTAGTAAGATGATTTTGCATGTTTTTAAACTGTCATAAAAATTGAATTACAAAGGATTCATCTGTAACCTGCTTTTTTCTATTTCATACAAATTTTGAGAAAAATTTACCATGTTGGGGTTCTTAGTTGGAAGCGAGCTAATGGTTGCATCCTGACCAAAGGTTTGCTTTACTTTCTTCATTTTCTAAGTTTGTTCTTTCTGGTACTTCAATTAATCAAATATCCTGGTTTGATCTTTTAATTTTATTACTGTCTTTTGACTTTTTGTTTTGTGTTTTGGCTTTTGTCTTTTGACTTTTTTTTCTACTTTTTGGACAAGTTCCTCAACTTTATCTTCCAGTCCTTCTGTTAAATCTTTTATTTTGGCTGTCATTTTTCATTTCCAAGAGCTCTTTCTTATTTCTTGATTTGTCCTTTGAAAAAAAGGCATTCTTCTCTTGTAAGTTTGAATTTTTTTTTTATTGCATTGTCTTCCTTTATCCCCTCCAAGCTTCTGTTTGTTTTGTTCTCTTCTCTCATGTTGGAGAACTTTCTCAAATGTCAGTTGATCCTTGGCCATTTGTTCATTTTTAAGGAGAGACCCTCAGAAAGCTGATTGGAAGCTCTTTATGAGTAACTGAGCTTTCTAAACCAGTGGACTTTCAGTGTTAGATATATGGGCAGAGACTAACCATTTTCTTGGGGAATTCACAATTTGTTGGCATTTATAGATCTTTTTTCTTAAGCTGTTTTCTCTAGAGAACAATCCTCTAATCTCCTGCCTTGGCACATAGAGAATCTATATAAACCAGTGAGTGTCCCGGGTTTGTGCAGGGGGGCAAGTTGGGGAGGAGGTTTGAAAGTGCCTCACACTGTTTGGTTTGTAGACTTTGACTTAACTGCTTAATTTCACTGCTGTATTAGTCCTCATGTTGGTCTTAAGCCTATCTGGTTCAAACCTCCAGTTTTCTACAGCATGGGTAGGGAAGGTTTTGTTTATCTAACTGGGAGACAGGCTAACTACTTTTACAGGCTCTAGGCCAATCCTCCTTTTCAACTCCATCTTTCAACACTATCTTCTCTGGTATCTGGTTTCTGCAATCCCCAGTATGAATCATCTTGCTTCTCAATAGCACCTAATCCCCCCTTTGCCCTTACAGTTGACCTTTGAACAACACAGGCTTAAACTGCTGGGTCCACTTATACACAGATTTTTTTTTTCAATAAATATATTGGAAAATATTTTGAAGATTTGCAATACTTGAAAACTTTTCTTTATTTTAGGACTGTAGTATATAATACATGTATAAAATATATGTTAAATGACTCTTTATGCTATCAGTAAGGCATTGGGTCAACAATAGGCTGTTGGTAGTTAACTTTTTGAGGAATAAACAGTTATAACTGGATTTTCATCTGTGCCCCGGAGGCTGCGGGATGGCGGGGGGGGTTGTTCCCCTGTCCCCCACATTGTTCAAGGGTTAACTCTACTTGACTTTCATCTTTTCAGCTCTGGTAGGTAGTTACCAGTTATCAGGCAAAGTAACTTTCTTAACATTGTCATAGGCTATTTGCATTTGCTTTGTCCTTGTGATTTATCCCTTTATTTTAATGACTTTGTGGGGGATGAGGTAGGGTGAGGTGGATCGTGTTCATGAGTTTTCAGGAATAAAGAAAGATACATGTGCTTCATTCACCTCATTTATTGGCATTTCCTCCATTTACTCTGCCCACTCCAGTCTGACCTCTGACATCCTCATTTCTGGGAAACTGTTCTTTTCTAGATGATCTGTCATCTCCACATTGTTAAATCTAGTGGGTGGCCATTCTTTTCCTCAGTAGCACTTAACACATTTGTCAGACCATTCCCTCATTGAAACATTTTTCCAACACACCACATTCTCCCAGGTTTCCTCCTACCTCATAGCTGTTTCTGAGTTATCTTCCTATATCTCTTCTTTTAATGTGAGTGTCTCTGGTTTTCGTCCTTGGCCCACTTTTCTTCTCTCTTCTTCTTGAGCAGTTTATCTCATGATTTTAAGTAGCATGACTATACTAAGGATTCTTAAAACTATTTACTCCTTTCCATCTCCGTTGCTGCCACTCTTGTCCAAGTGTGTGACCACTAGTTTACACTTTCACAGCAACCTATAAACTGATCTCCTTGCTTGCACTACAGTCTGTTCTAATACAGAAGAAACTCCTCACTAAAGCCTTTAGTGAAAGTATACTGCCCTATCAACCCCATGCCATACTGTCTGCTCTTCTTTACTTTGCTTATTTTGCTGGTCACGTTTGTCAGATCCACCAAACCCATGCTCACCAGGGACCCGTGTACTGATTTCCCTCTGAAATTCTTCCTTCACTCTTCATATATCCAAGTTATTTTAATCCTTCTCACCTTAGCTTGATTTTCCCTCTTTCTGAGAAGCCTTCCTTCCTTATTTTGTCTTAAAATTGTGCTCCTTGTCTCCTACTCCCAAAATCAAAGACCACAATATGTAAGTTTCCATTAGTTTGTTTTTTCACCCAGTAGTTAGTCTTTTCTGCAGAGTTTTATCTGTCTTCACATCTGTGGGGTGTCAGACTATGAAACAGGTGCTTAGTAAATATTTCTTGAACAGACTAACATAGTAGAATTCTAAACAGGAAACAGTGAAAGGGACATGACAGGTGCTTAAACAATATTTGTTCAATGGACAAGAAATGGAATTGGAGACAGGAAATAAAAATGAAAAGGATGAGGTAAGTAAAGGCTGCTAGGGCTTTTTGGAGAAATTAGGCAAATTTATATTTTGAGTTAGTAATTGAGTTAATTTTGCAAGTGTAAAAATGTTCCTTATTTATCTTTGTAAATTGATGCTGAGAAAGATGAATATATTGCCTACTAAAATTAAATACAGCTTTATATGCTTTTTTTGGTAAATGTCCATATTCAGATCATGATTAAGAATTGCAAGAGGTCTGGGAGATTACTTTCAGACCCAATAGTTCAATCCCCTTATTGTATAAATCTTTTCTATTTTAGAAGGTTGTTCTGTGATCACATGATTTCATGTTTCCAAGGACGAACTGGAAAACTGGTTATAAGTGCTTGTTATGGAGGGAAAAGTATGATTACCAAAACACTTCTGACTTAACTAAAATCTTTAAGCTTCTCAGTTTTGCCAAGAATGATCATAAAACAAATTCTAAAAGACTAGATAAAATTATATCAGCTACATGACATATTTTATGTATTTTACTAATACTTTTACAAATATTGCTTCCCCAGTGATGGCTCATGAAGCAATGGAATATTATCTTCAGGTGCCATTAGATCCTCATGCTGCAGAACAGCCTGTACCTGCTGAAGCAGTCAGCAGCCAAGGGGGACCACCTCTTCTCCAACCTACTCCTGATGAAGTGGTCAGCAGCCAGGGGAGACCACACCTGCTCCAGCCTGCTCCACCGGTGTCCATTAACTTAACGGAGGAGGTGGGGAACATCAATCCAGGAGCTTCAGAGGAGCATCCCCAGGGATCTGGTGCTAATGGCACTGTCCAAATGCCTTCATTGAATTCAGTGAACAGCTTTATCAGTGGGCTACAGAGACTTAATGGCGTCCTGGAATTCCTGAGACCACCTTCAGACCACAGTGTGGGGCCAGTAAGAATAAGGAGGAGAAGGGGGTCTGCTTCACAAAGGGCAAGAACTGGAGGGTCACAGAGGACAGACAGTGCCAGGTAAATAGAAGTATGAATTGTTGGACTGATGCCAGATTGGGAGTTATGACCCTTAGTCCCTGGTCATGCCTATGTGGCTGCCGAGGATTGACATTGTGACTTGGCAAGTCAGGTGACCTTTCTGAACCCTCATTTCTGCACAAATCAGATGAAAATAAAAGTACTTGTCTTAAAAGTTCACCAGGTAATTGAGGGGATAAGTTACTTTGATATGCCTTGTGACCTAGGTGATAGTTTTTTAGCAATGGTTTCTGTAGAGGCCGGCTCTTTAGATCATTTGTGTCATATATAAGGAATGTATTTCTTAATTTATAATTCCACTCACCCAAGATCCATTGTTCATTGGCACTGTGCAGTAGATTTTGGAAGACAGGCAGGCTGGGTTTAAAGAAGACTTGTGAAAAGTAGAATGTGAATTAATTTAGAACTTATCTCACAAAGGTAAACACTCCAGCCCTCTTTTCCCAAGAATGTGTTGCAGAGTTGACATAATTTTCTTCCATAGTTGTTGGTTTGAACCTTCTTCTTCTTCAAGGGCTTACTTGTCAAATCTTACTGAGGTTATTATGAAGAATAACACTTGTCTAGTCCTTGTCTATTTTTTTACTTCCTCCTGCTTTTATTTGAAATATTTTATTTCACATTTGGCCTTCTAAATGTTTTCATAATATTTAAAGAGATTGAAGTCAACTTCTTCATTTTATATGTGATGAAAACTTGGACACTAAAAGAATGTTTTTTTCAGGTTCTCATAGCTACAACCACAGTGAGCTGGTGTTGGAACCTAGATCTGACTCATTTTCTACACAGGCACATAGAGGAAGCTTCATTCAGATCCATTTGTTTTCTTACACTATGAAAATAGTGAGATGATACTGAAAAGGAGTAGCTGGGTCATCTGTTTACCTGTATTTTACAAATGAGGCAGATGGGATAATTTATGATTTGACTGGGCTAACTCAGGAACTGGAATTGTGCTTTCTGATTTTGGATCCAGCATCCTTTCCCATGGGTCCTGCTGATTACTGTATCAGGGACTGCTAGTACAGTGGCTGTAGTCTCTGTACAGTCTGATCACTTCCGGATGTGACCCATAAAGGATGATGGGTGCCTAGTTCTGTGTTGACAAGAGTTGCAAATGCATGTTACCCTGTTGTTTCAAGATGTCATTTTTCTCAGATTATGAAGGCAAAATAAGATTTCATACATGTGTGTGGAGAAGGCAACTTGCAGTGCAATTTGGGGATCCTGTCAGTAAGTGGTTGGAGAGTGAGAGTGGTGTCCCCAGAAACTGGCTGACTACCAAGAGGCCTCTCACAGTATTCATTAGCTTCAGTTCATATACTCACTCAGGACATAGTTGATTGCTCTTGGTAGGGGACACTTACTTGTATTAACCAAGTCACAGGAGAGTAACACTTATAAACCAGATGCCAGTTTACAGAGAGAAATGGAAACACCACAGAGACCAAATTCTCATTGGTGTAGTCAGCATTATTCTCTCAGAAGATACACACAGAAGCCAAACTCTAAGCAGAAAAATGCTTGACATATGTAGAATTGGTCCTGGCTTATAGAATTTAGGTTTTGAAAAATGTCAGTCAGGCTATCTGGCTGACAATCATGTTTGTCTCCACAAAGCGAATAAGCCTAAAAGTCTAGGGATTATGCTGTTTAGTGGAGAGAACCTGGATTCTAGAGCCAGATAAATGTGGTATTAAAACTTTTTCCCCTAAATATTGTGTTGAAAGAAAATTCCACACTAACTCAGCATAAAAATGAGAGCTTTTCTAGGAGTAGTTGCTTCCCTTCTGAAATTCTTTTTTTTTTTCCTTTGTGTATCGTTTACACTTTACACAGCTTTCCCCAGTGCTCACATCTTGCAAAACTATGGTACAATATCACAACCAGGATATTGACCTAGATATGGTCAGATATCAAACATTTCATCACCATGGATGTCACTCATATTGTCCTTTTGTGGCTACACCCAATTCTCCTACCTCCATTCCCTCCTTAATTTCTGACACTAACCTGTTCTTCAGTTCTATAATTTTGTCATTTCAAGAATATTTAATGAATAGAATTGTACATTATATACCCAACCTTATAGGATTGACTTTTTTTATTCAAAGTAATTTCTGGGAATTCAGCCAGTTCTTGCATGTATCAGGAATTCATTCCTCTTTATTACTGAGCAGTATAGATATACCACAGTTGAACCATCCACCGACTGGAGGACTTCTGGATGTTTCCAGCATTGGGCTATTACAAATAAAGCTGCTAGAACACTGCATAGATTTCTTTGTGGACAGAAGTCTTCATTTCTCTGGGTTAAGTACCCAGGAATGCAATTGGGTTGTACGGTAGTTACGTCTTTATTATTTAAAGATACTGCCAAACTGTTTTCCAGGGTGCCTGTGCCATTTTACATTCTTACCTGCAATGTATAAGTTATGCAGTTTCTCTGCATTCTTGTCAACACTTGGTGCTGTCAGTTTTTTATTTTAGCCATTCTGATAGGTGTATAGTGATAATCTCACTGAGGATTTAACTTTCATTTCTCTAATGACTAGTGATGTTGAATATCTCTTAGTGTGCTTATTTACTGTCTGTATGTCCTTAGATGAAATACCTCTTTGTGTCCTTTGCCCATATTCTAATTGGACTGTTTGGGGGTATATTTGTTTTGATTTGGTTTTAGTTTTGTTTTGTTTGGATTTTGACTTTATTAGTACTATTATTAAAGTTGTTAATATACAATCCTATGTTAGTTTCAGACGTACATCACGGGTTCAAGGTCCCCCTGACCAGCTTAAATTGATTGCGAATTATTGTGCCCTTTTATCCCTCCCCTGCTCCCCCTTGGTAACCACCAGTCACTTCTCGGTATCTATGAAACTACTGCTGTTTGTTCATTCTGTTTTGCTTTGTTTTTATATTCCACAAATAAGTGAAATCATATGGTATTTGTCTTTCTCTGCCTGGCTTATTTCACTGAGCATAATACACTCTAGATCCACCCATGTTGTTCCAAATGGCATGATTTTTTTTATGTCTGAATGATACTCTGTGTGTACATATACCACATCTTTTTTTTATCCATTCATCTATTGATGGGCACTTAGGTTGCTTCCATATCTTGGCTATTGCAAATACTGTGGCATTAAACGAGTACATATATTTTTTCGAATCAGGGATTTTGTTTTCTTCGGATAAATCCATAGGAGTGGAATTACTGGGTCAAATGGTATTTCTATTTCTATTTTTAGTTTCTTGAGAAACTTCCATACTGCTTTCCACAACAGT